TAAACAGTAAAAAAAGGCAAAAAGTAGAAAACGAAGAATTTTAATTCAGCTTTGAGAATTGCGAGCAGGCTTGTTGCACTTGCTGCAGTCCTCAAAGCAAGAGAACAGAGCGTGGGAGTTCTTCAACTTTTCCCCCTTTTTCTTTTGGGTATTTTAAAAACAATCAAATGGGTTTGTTTTTTTGCCTTTTGTTTTCAAGTGTGTTTGGATTTGGGTTTTTGGAGGATAATAGTTTTGAATTTGATATGCTATATGAGCTTAGTGTATGGCTCTATCGTATTTGTTAATCAGAAAAACTCTAAAAAAACAGAGTTTTGTTGGAAGGTGGGGTTTCTTTTAGGCTCTGTTTGGGCAGACCTTTTTCCATACCTTTTCTTCTTCTTTTTTTATCTTTAGTATTAAACCAATACCATTTTGTGTATCTATATCCTTTTATTCATATACGTTACGATTCCACACGTGTCGTAGAGTACAACAACCCTTCCTGCCCTATATCCTTGTAGTTTATTCATGACCCTTTTACCAAAATCTCAATATCGTAAAATGTATCTCACAATCACTAGTTTCGTATATGGGTATCTCACTATCGCTATGCTATGTCTGGTCTTAAAACAATTTTTATACCCAGATATTTAGTACTAACCATTTATTAGTCTTTTCATATCTTAGTGGAGAACTTTCGAAGTATGGTGGGTTTAGCAAATATTTTCAGTACCCACCATTAATTTTGAGTGCAAAGTTTGGTAAACAGTGTCAATCATAATATGTCTAAGTCCTAAACTTGATTATGATCCGACTCGATGAACGTTCAAAGGATGGAGACGAAGTTAAAATATTGGAAAGAAAGAAAGAAAACATGCATATAGGAAAGAGAGAAGGGAGTGAATGTAGGCACTAAAAACACAAGGGAATGTGTGAAACTAAATGGATATTGAAATGGAGAAGAAGGACAAATGCATGAGAAGAAGTGATACCCATCGTGTGGACCCTAAATTATTCATTCTCTACTTTGGCCTCTTCTATTTCTCTCCAATCTCATTGGACTTAACCCTAATTCCATCACCCCCTCTATTTCCCTTCCAATCAATCACGTCATATTCTACCTTCATCGATCGTGCTACGATATGTATCAACAAAAATCTATTTAGTTCCATGTTTTTTGGGTAGGTTAAGTACTATAACAGTCTAAGTTTATTACTAGCAGATATTGTCCATTTTGGCCCTTTACATATCATCGACGGCTTTAAAACGAGCCTACTAAGAAGAAGTTTTCATACCCTTACAAAAAATGTTTCGTTCTCATCTTTAACCCATGTGGGGATCTCACGATTACCCAATTCAATAACAACAGAAAAAAATTTGTGCGCATGATACTGAATCAAAATCGACGAGACGTTGTGTCAACTTTTGTTAATACGCACAACTGTACGACTTATCAAAACCATGTGTTAGCTTTCATGAAGACGTATATTGATGTTATCTTAATAAGGACGGACGAACGAACAAAAAGGGTAGAAGGTTAGTGCTGAAATACATTATCGACTATAATAAATCATTTTTCAGTACAATAATACGAGGTACGAGAAGTTGAATGCTTTTAGCAAACCAAACAACTTTAAAATGTCAAAAGAAAGAAACAAAGAACTATTAATTTTTCATATCGACTTTTATGATTTCACACTCCTTTTTCTCCAACCAATTTTAATTATAACTAATCAAGTTTGTCGATCCACTCTATATGGGTTTATGCCAAACAACGTGATTATAAAATGAGAGCACAAAAGTCGGGCCGTTTATTTTGATAGCTAGCTAGCTAAGACATACCCTACAAATCAAATTTATATTAATTAAAACACGCCTATACATTCAACTTATATCGTTAATCTGTAATATAAATATCGCTCAATTAATCATATAATTTAAAAAAAAAATGGTATTTTTAAGGTATTCTTTACTTTATGTGGACAAAAAAGGGAAGGGGGAGTGTTTATGTCCCTAACATTGTACAATAAATTGATTATTAATAATTACTTTGTCCCCAACAACGAAAAATAAAAAATAAAGTTGCATTTAATTTCACTGTTTAGTTAATTAAATATATTAATAGAGTGAGTATTTTTATTTATTTATTTATATAATTATTTCGCTTTAAATTTCTAAATTTTAAATGAAAATTCAATGTGGGCCAATTTTTTTTTTTTTTTTTGTTATATTAATTGGGTAAATCTTTTTTATTATTATTATATTTTAGGAAGGGGGCAGGGATAATATTTAAAATATGTGGTTATATTTATTTATTTATTTATTGGTTCTTGAATTTGTTAAATATTAATTTGGCAATGTTAATGTATGAACATATATACTTGAAGCCAAATCATCACATTATTTATTTATAGTAAAACTAAAAAAATGGAACAAAGTCATATGAATTATATATATATATATATATAAGAATGGGTGTGACAGATGAAAATAATAAGCATTGGGGACATTGGTGTTGAAATATAATTAATTATGTGCTGACATTGGTTAGAGGAAATAAATAGGATATTGGAAACAGGAATCTGCCCATTAATTTTTATTTATTTATTTATTTTAATTTTAGAGCGGAGTGGAAGGCGTGCGGCGAAGTGAATGATGAAGGTCTATGGGTGTGCCCCCAAAATCAAAAAAAAATTAAATTAATAATAAATAATAAAAAGGAGCTCTCTCTCTCTCTCTCTCTCTCTCTCTCTCTCTCTCTCTTTCCATTGAGATTCCAAACTCCCAAACACTATGCTCTTTCGCACGCACTGCCATGCTTTTTCCCTTTTTGTATTTTTTTTTTTAATTTTATATATTTGTTAATTACCACTCTAATAAATTTTAATTTTTTTTAGGAATGTATTTTAGAATTTTTAGAATCGAATGCGCTCGCCCAAATGCAAACTCATCTCGTACACAATAGTTAGTGGTTTCGGTAAGAGACATTGGTATGGCTTGAAACTTCTATTTCGACCCATTAATAGTTGCAACAGTGGTTACTTCGTTCATATCCTTTATCATCGAATAGGAGCTGATCTTCCTATTTCTTAAAGGTCGGTTTTTTAAGATCCCACATCGTTTTGAGAGAGTAACGAAACATTTTTTATAAATGTGTTGACTACAATAATAAATATTTGTTCATATTTAATTTTTTTTTTAGTATAATGTTTTGAATATACTAATGAGGAATAAGAATATAGCATCTATATTAATACACGACTATTTTTTGAGTTCACGTGAGTTTGAGTTTTTCTAATAAATAAATAAATAATATAGTTCAGCGTGGTCCTAACACAAACTTGTTTGTTGCAGCTTTCGGATTAAAATATAATTTTAGTTTTTATGAATTTAAAAAATATTTTTATTTTAAGTTAATTCACATTTAGTCTTAGTTATTTTTTTAGAAAAATATTTATTTATTTTACCTATGGATAATAAATATTTGAATATGGTCTTATTTTAAGAAAGAAATTAGAAATAAAATCGTGTTAAAAAAATCCAAAGTCAACAAGTTTAACGATGCTTAATATATGAATGGATAAGGATGTAGTGCTTTAATGCCAAAATTAACCAAGTATTTGTTGCGTATTCCAAACAACCCTTGTGTTAAACGAGGGTCAATATTGGTATTTCAAGTGCAATTCTTTTGTTGGGAGAATGTTCCTTTTTTTTTTTTTTTTTTTTTTTTTTTTTTATCTTTTAGAAATTCCAACACTAATTTTCAAGATTAAATTTATTCAATCTATGTTTTGGTTGGTGCATGCATTCAATAATATGTCAGAATATTGTTTTTATTCAAAATATGTCTTTCCTTTATTAATATTATTTTTTTTATAATATAATAATTCTAATTTTCAACTTATTTATTAATTTTTTATTTTTTCAAATTTAACGTATCAGATTAGATATTCAAATATTTATTATTACTTTTATTTATTTAATTGTTTTCAAGAAAAAGAAAAAAAAAACATATTAATTGGGTGCCCATTTGGCAATTGCTAGTGTGAGTGATGGGTTGGAGGAATGCACAGACAAAAGCCCAACTCGCCTTGTGGATTATGGCCCAAATCATAAATAGATAAAGTATCCGGGCCCAAAAACAATTATTTTATATATATACACGATGAATTGTAAAGAGTACATAAATGAGTTAAAAAAATATAAAATATAAATTTTTAGTTTATAGACTAAATAAATAAATAAAATTTATAATTTAACCAAATTTATATTATAGTAGTCAGAAAAAAGAGACCTTAAACACTTTTGATTTAATTAGTACGTAGATCAGTGGCTTTGCTCTTCGAGAATCACTCACTCATGCACTTGTCTTGAGCTCTAACGTCACTCCAAAATCTCCTAGAATCATGAAATTTTATGGACTCCTTACCTCCTATCCTACTCGCCTATAATCGTCTAAAATCTTTGGAATATAGGATTTGTGAGTTATGTTTCTGAAATTTTTTTATCTCTTTTTTTGTCACGTAGTTTCAAAAAAAATAATTCAAGACGAGACAAGGCACACTCGTAGATCAAAATGAATAACTAATAAAAGTGATAAAGATTACCTGTTTGATTTGTGATTAAACAAAACTATACCAACTTAAAACTACCCATGAATAGACCTAAAAAGGTATAGGCATTAAAAAAAATGTTTAAAAAAGAAATTAGAATTTACAGGTCACAGTTGAAAATTTGGTGGTGTCAACGTCCACAAACAAACAACCTTAATTAGATGGTATCCAGTTGACTTCTAGTCTGGCAACCGGATCTCCCGGTCACCTCGCAGTACATACTCCATCCCTCTCCCTCACCTTCGATCATCCCAATCTTCTGCTTCTCATTTCTCCCCACCGGAAAAAGAAAACCCATCGGAGAAAGGCGAAATTGAATCCTTCTCTACCACTTTGTTCGAGAGAGAGATGGCAGGTTCATCCAAAAGTCCAGAGTGCGGCGGAGAGGGAACCCAACCTTCGTCGTCGTTAATGGATAGCTTATTGGGTCTTCTTCGGGTTCGGGTCATTCGCGGCGTCAACCTCGCCGTACGCGACGTCCGCAGCAGCGATCCTTACATTGTCGTTAAAATGTCCAAACAGGTCAAGCCCTTTACCTTAAAATCTCCAAACACGTTGCATTAACACGCTTTCTTGTTCTTCCTCATATTTGTTTTCTTTTCTCACTGCCAGAAGTTGAAGACCCGCGTGATCAAAAAGGACATCAATCCCGAATGGAACGAGGATCTCACTCTATCTGTTACAGAACCGAACGCTACAGTCAAGCTGGTATGTATTAGGAACCACGACTCTCCACAATGTAATAATATTGTCCCCTTTAAACATAAGCTTTCATATTTGCCTTGGGTTTCCCAAAGAACCTCATACGAATGGAGATAATGTAGATGTATTCCTTACTTATAAACACATGATCATTTCTTAAATTAGCTTCCAACCATCCTCTCTTCGAACAAAGTACACTATAAAGCTTCCCATAAGGCATATGGAGCCCTAAACAGCCTCTCATTAATTGTGGCTCAACTCCTTGTCTGGAGTCATCAAACAAAGTACACCTTTTAGTCATTTTTTAACTACACCTTCGAGACTCACAACTTCTTTGTTCGACATTTGAATATTCTATTGACATGACTAAGTTAAGAGCACGTCTCTAATACCATGTTAGGAACCACGACTATCCTCAACGTATATCTGTAACTGGCCAAGTCCACAGCTAATAAGGAAGAGATTTCTACCCTCTTATAAAAAAATGTTTCGTTCTCTTTTCTAATTGATGTGGGATCTCACAATATCAATACTTTAACATTGTAGACAGTGTACGACCACGACACGTTCAGCATGGACGACAAAATGGGAGTCGCGGAGTTCGAGATCAGACCATTCATCGAAGCATTGCAAATGAATTTAGCAGAGGTACCAAGTGGAACGGTAGTGTCAAGAGTGCAGCCAAGCAGGCAAAATTGCCTAGCTGAAGAGAGCCCCATTGTGTGGGAGGATGGCAAGGTTGTTCAAAACATTTGCCTACGCTTGCGCAACGTCGAGCGTGGCGAAGTCGAGATCCAGCTGCTATGGATCGATCTACCCGGTTCTAAAGGTTCGTAAAACCCTATTTAAGAAGTGAAAAAAAAAAAAAAAAAAAAAAAGTGCATGGTTTTGAATGTTTGATGATTTTGAACAAACATGGTGTTGGTGTAGCTGCATTGACCACGTGCTCCAAGACATGGATGGAACTGAGTGGCTACACGACGGTTGAACCTGGTAAAGAAAAGGAGCGTCTTGAGAAGATACCGGGAAAAATAAAGAAGGCTTGGGGTCCCGCGTGGCGTGTACCCGGCGTCGCTAACTATGTGAATCGCTTCAAGTCTACACTTCTTCTCCAACGCTGTTTATATAAGAAATGAACACTTTTTTAATCATTTTTTAACTTTGAATGACTTTGTTTTTTTTTGTTCATTTGAAGAATATGTGAAGCAATATATTTATTTTGTATGATCGAATTGGTTTTGAGCGTTACGGAATATATATATATATATATATACATGCACACATGTTTCGAGATGGCAACCCATCTAAGCCTAATTACTTCTAACACCCCAAACGGGCTTCCCCTCAATCACACTTTTGTAAAGAATATTTCGTTTTTCTTTCCCAACTCATATGGGATCTTATAGTCAACCTCGTTTCGGAGGTCTAGTGTTCTTACTAGCACTCTTTCACTTCTCCAATTCACCTCATTCGACGCCCAATGTTCTTACTTGCATACCGCCTAGTATCTACCCTTTTTGGGACTCAACCTCCTTGTTAGTACATCGCCTGATGTTTAACTCTGATACTATTGGTAACAGCATAAGACTATGATCCGTAGATATTGTCCATTTTGGGGTTTTCTTTTCGGACTTTCTCTTGAGGTTTTTAAAATGTGTTTTCTATGAAGAAATTTTCGCACATTTATAAAGAATGTTTTGTTATCCTTTCCAATCGATGTCGATCTCACATTACTGATTTGGGATTTACACGCACATGAATCTCAAGATGAAAACCCACGTAAGCCTAGTTACTTCTCATGTTATCGTGCAACATCACTAGGTAAAAATTATAATTAATTGGAAAAGTAAATAAATTTATTATTAAAATATAATTTGAAAATGGAAAATAAGAACACAATATTATCTTCAATATATTGACTGGGAAAGACTTGAGGGGAAAAAAAAAACAATAATTTTGAATTATTATTTTAAAATAATTGATTGTAATAAATTTGGTTGGAGGCGGGATGATTATTTATTTATTTTCACACAAATGTAAAAAACAAAATAAATAAATTCACATTGGACGCGGAAAAATACAGCGGGAAAGTTCGAGGGGTAAGGAAAAAATAAAACCCTAAGCCGGAAGGACAGAGGGTTTGGGGAACTGCTTGCGCGGTCGAAAGCTCGGGGCTCACGGCATGGGGAGCGGAGACGACTATAAATTCATGGAGATTAGAGATGCCATTGTCGCCATAAACATGAAGGTTAACCTTATTGGTGTTATCATCGAGTTCGGTTTCCCCAGGCGAACTAAGGGCACTGGTATTGTTCCTCTCTATTTATTCCATTTCGTTGCATAGAAATGGATTTTGTTTGTGTGATTCACTCCCCTGAAATTGTTAGCAGTGTGAGTTTTAGTTCCGGAACATGTCGATATTTAGTAAATTCTGAGTATCTTTTATTTTCATTTCATTGATTTCATCGTTTCGCGTGTAACTTGTTACTGGCAATGATGAATCAAAGGCCGGACTTACGGCTGCTTGCGTTTGGACGGTAGTAGACTGATGATATGTCTGCAGTAAGGTGTTATTGCTGAGCCAGTTCTTATAACAGTACAACATTGCACATTTCGCGCGCTACATTCTGTGTTTTGATTACTCGATGTGTGCACATATTTAGACTCGTTATGTATTTGTAAATCTTCTGGTTTCTCTTGGATAGCTGATGTCTTGTGGCGGAAATAGGAGTGTTATAACATCATTTTCTAGTTGGTCTCAAGTTCGTGCTTTGGCATAATATACTGCTACTTTGTTTTATTTTATCTTACATGAAAACGCTTTTCTAAGTTTTTTTCTGTCCTGCTTTACCCACCCGTTCGTGCAATCCTCTGTCTCTCCTATTTTGTATTAACAAGTACTAACGGTTTAATTATTGGGTCCTATTCTCGGTCTTTAAGTAAAATTTTAGGATCGAGAATTGGGAAGGTTGAAGTTCACCTTGATTTGAAGATATGTATCACTGAAGTAACGTCTATGTTAAAACTCTTCAAGCTGGTATTTTCATATGTACGAGGATATCACATGGACAGATCTATGTTTCTCTGTTCAGTAAATTATCTTGTATATTTTGGTTTGATTATTTCTGCTAGAAGGGAAGGATTTAGTTTGTACGCTACATGCAAAGGCCCCCCCCAATAGTTTCCATAGATGTAACGCTATGAATAGCATGATGAGTACTATTACAAAGAAAATTTTGACTTCGCTCATTCGTGGGAGCTTACAGAAACACAATATGCCTAGATTTAACTATCCGAATACTGTGTGATGAATACATGCTTTAGACCCTGGATTTTTCTTCTACTTGAAAGTTGAATAATCTATATGTGGCACATCTTGTAACCTGGTCAATTAAATTTATTTTTGATTCTTTGGGTCATATAAATTACTATTTTCATCATTCCCTGTATCTGCCTTTAATTTCAATAGTTTTGAGCTACAATTTGTTTCATTAAGGTTCTGCCTACTTTGAGATCATTTACATACTTTTGCAGATTGCTATTGTGCTGTAAAAATTGTTGATCAATCTCATCAAACACCTGGAATTACTGCAAATATTTTTGCTGAAAGTTTGGAAAAGCTTCCCCACGTTGCTTCAGCTGGAGATATCATTCAACTTTCTCATGTTTTGGTATTCAATGATACTAAATCTTGTGTAAAATTTTATTTTAATGTACTTTTTCCATTTGTTGCCTTTATTTCATGTTTCAGCATCCTGTTCAAATTGATAGTTTTGTTCTCAAGTATTGTTTATTTCATTTAAACATTTCAGCATTTATTTTCTTCAGTTTGAGAGGGAGAAAACCTTGTTATACTAGCAATTTTTTGAATTTGCAATGAATGGAAAAATAGGAAGAAATCAGATGGTACTGCTTAATTCACACCAAAATCTATTGACTATTTTAGGGGATGTGATTTTGATAAGAATATTTTTGTGTATACACAAATATTTTTTAATATACATTTTCTGCCCCTTATGTTGTCTTGAATTCTTATACTCTATTTGTCATTTTAGTATTCTCCAATACAATCGTTTGTACTGCCCAAGAGAATAACGAATAAATGGGACAGACTTGTTTTGAAGCCATTAATTTAGTTGTAGTAGATTTCTTTTTCCCCTGCCTAGCCTACTATATTAAATCTTAACTTCTATATTTCTAAGCTTCATACGGTATCGATAGGACTAAACTTGTTTGGCACTTGCTTATTAACTTGATTTTGACTAAAGCAAGAAATTAGTTTGAAAGAAATTTCTTGACACCTGTCACTCAAGTTTCTTGAAACATTTAGTGGAAATGGAAAGGTATTGGATGAATATATGAATCTACTTGTCTACTCGAGCAGTTGAACATTTTTATATCATAATGTTATTGTCTTCTTGTCACTCTTACGAATATAAGTGATAGGTGGTCAATGACTATCTCAGAAATCAAGTGATAATTGCAGATGAAAATTCATCAGGGGGAAATATATGCTGTCTTCAATAAGAAGTTTTCTTCATTTGCTTTGTATGAAGGAAAAGATGGATCAGGCTTTCTACCGTATGACGTTTCACCTAAATTTCGACCCAGAGATCTCGATAAAATGTTCATTTTGAGTCTGAGGGATTGGCTGGTTGGTTTTGAACTTGATGAAGGTCTGCAGTGAAGTGTTCTGTCTATAGACAAACAATTTAGAGTGATGGCTTTCTTTTATTGTTCTTTAATCCCAAGGAGTTTATAGTACTTTCTTTTAAAAAATGCAGATAATTTTAACTTAGAGAACTAAAATATCAAAATTTGGCCAATAACAGCGGGCCTCCATTTAAGGACACATGTATGGATTAAGGACATATATGTTCATTGGCCAATGTATGTGAACCTAGAATATAAAACAGTTTATGCATGACTTGACCTGAAAAACTATTGACTTAACACAGAATTTTGTAGGATCAACCAGCTTTTCATTTGTGAGAGATATCAAGGAAACCGAGCATGTTAATTTGATCTGCAAGGTGAGGAATTGTTTTTAAAAAATTCTATGGTGTCCCTTTTTCACTCTGTTTTAAAAAATTCTAAGGTAACTGACTTAACAAATATTTTAACAAGTATTCTTGGAAGTGGTTTGACATGAATCCTATTCTATCCCAGTTAGTCTAACTCTCTCTCTTCCTCTCTCTCCTGCACGAAGATTGTCTACATGTGTGAGGATGCTAATAATGGTACTCTGGCTTTTGTTTGGGATGGAACTGATGCTCATCCAATTAGCATTGACACAAAGTAAGTTCATCAAGCTGAAATTTGTTTATAAAAGCATATCATGTTCTTTTGGTTGTACAAATATTGATAATTGGTGTAGCTCATATCCTGTGATGTTGAGTTGGTTGTATCAGGTTATAGGCAAGCAATTGCATGTTAACAATAAAGTGGTACAAGGGTGTGGCCTCTGCATATCATGTTCTTTTAGGTTTTATTTACTTCCATTCTCGGCCATATTGTTGTTTATTTACTTATAAAATCTAGTTTTGTACTTTTTTTTTTGTCCAATACTTAATGTACCAGCTATACTTGAAGATACTATGCAGTAAAGACCGAAAATAATTTTGGATAGTTTGTGTTCCTTAAGGATTTCTGGAAATCCTTGCTATTCTGTAAACGATAGCCTCTTACAGAACCTGTATTGAGACAATTTTTTCAATCTCTACATTGGAAGGTGAAGTCTGGATTAGGGACAAATCACACAAAGATAGTTTTTTTTAGACTTTTTAACCTGTCTAATCTCAGAAGTAAGGGTCTTGAAAATTTTTGGGATGCCCTTTGTGAGAGTTAGAATTTGGGGGTTTAATAGGAGCCTTGATGCTTTGAAGGTTGAATAATGGGTTCACCTCATCCCTGTAATTGAAAAGCACTGACCTAATAAATAATCGGGCAGGTCTTGGAGTATTGTCTCTTCTGGATCCTTTACTCTCTCTTTGTTCCATCATATTATGGATGTTCCTCTGGCACTTCCTAAGGGCAAGGCTAAGTTTACTGGGGTTGCAACATCCCCAAAAAAGTTGATTTCTTCTTTTAACATACTACCACAAATTTTTATGTTGGCTAGTATACAAAATAAAAGCCAAACTTCATCCTTCTTCCTCTTTGTGTGTTCTTTGTCAAAAAAGAGGGAGTGGTCCTTTGTTGCCTGTTCCTCTGCGATGATTCTTTGAAACATTTTTCCTCAAGTTGCTAAATTGGTGTACCAATCAGTTGCCGAGGAACAAAGAAATTCTTTATACATAGATATGATATAGGTCCATCTTATTACTTAATACAAATAATCCATTACTATGCTTTTATGTGATCTTTAAACCTTGAACTCAACAATTGCTTATTCCACCAATTCCTTTGATAATGATCTTATAGAGATCCATCTTATTTATTAAGACAAAAGTACGTTTACTACTGTACTTTCATGTGATTGTTCATCCTTCAACTCAACAATTGTTTGTGCCACCAAATCCTCAGACAAAGAACTGATAAGGAATCATCTTTATTTATGAATACAAAATATATATATATATATATATATATATATTGTTGTACTTTAACACGATCTTTCTCTTTTCTCTTGTTTTTTCTGGGTGGGGGAGGATATTAATTCTCATTAGGTTTAACATACCTTTCATTGAAATCATTTTATGTTGGACTTTGTTAATACTTATTAGGCATGACCCAGGTTAACAGATGAAATTAGTAATGCACAACAATTGGGACCATTGGTTTTGCCAAGAGATGTCTTATGTACGTTACCTCCAGTTGGCTCTATCCTAAGGTTGATCTTTGACAAAGGGATTGAGAAGCAGAGTTTATCCATGCTCAACACTGGGAAATGGATGAAATTTATGAATGTCTTATGTGAAATGCAAGTTGGATCCTTCCAAATTGTGGTGACAACATTTTCAAAGCTTCGTTATACATCAAATGAAGATAATATCATACAATTGCGCCAAAGGTTAACTTTCCATTATTGCATCTTCGATAAAATACACGTAGACTCATGCTTCAATCTCTTACCCATTTGTTTTGATACACAATCATATTTAACCATTAGATCATATGAGGAGCGCTTAGCATCAATTTTGGGCAGAGTTCCTTTCTGGAGCTTTCCTTCGCCTTTACCCACTACAGGTTTGAAGTTATATTTTCATGAAATTTCATTTTATTGCAATGGTTACTTCGATCTTGAGTTTAAACTATTTTTTATGATTAAATTTTACTTAGAATTTCTTCCAGTGGCAATTTGCTGATTATCTTGTTCCTTCAACAGAGGTTGATCACAATAATGAACCGTTTACCACACTGATGGATGTTTTGACATATTCAAAGGTACTGCATCTCTCTATCGCAGGTTGTGGTTGTTTGTTGAGAAGTGTTTCTTTCTTGATGGTTTATGTAAATTCCGAAACTTTGTAGGATTTTCTGAAATTTTATATGTAGCGTCTTTGGATTTTTCAATGCAAGTCCTTGCCACAAGTTTCTTTTGCTTTATTGTTGACGGTGATACATTTAAATGGATGTTGAAGGTTCCATGAATGGTCTTCAAAATGAATGCGTGCTTTCACTTATTTTGTTTCTGTTGTGCCGATTCCCTCTTTCATATATTGATTGTTTTATGGATGTATTCGAGAGAACTTCTTCCTCACATATTTCAAAATCCTTGGTTTATTTTTCTTGGTTACCCATTTGATGTCCACAGTTGTCATCCCGGTGCATGCTGTGAGACACCCCTTTTGCAAACTGCTTGACTTTATTTCTTGATCGATGAAGTTTACACTTGACAGGTAACTGCAAAATTCAAATGTGTTATACGAGTTATAGCAATATATCCATTCCAGGCCAAGGACTTCCGCTCTCCTGAAGGGACTTACAGGGTTAGGCTGAGCCTAGAAGATCCAACTGCAAGAATCCATGCCTTCCTATATGCGGAGGATGGAGTAAGACTCTTTTTACCATTTATACTACATGCATTCTGGGAATGTTTTCTTTCCGTTCACAGGGTATTTAGAAGAACGGAAATTGATGTTCTAATCCCTTATTATTAACTTTACTTGGATTATTTAATTTTCATTCCTAGGGAACCTGAAAGAAAATTGTGGACGATCGGTTTCCTTATTAAGGTTTTATTTACTGGCGAGCGCAGTAAATCACTTGATTTATGGAAAGAGAGCGGGGAGAGAATGAGAGAAGGAAAGTTGGGAGGAGAAAAAGAGGAAAAAAATCTGAAAAATCAAGATTTTATCTTCTTTTAGTTCAAAAATCAAGGTAGGAACGGTTGAATCAAATATGGGTTAGGCCAACTAAACCAAACTCTCCTCCTATCTTAGGTCGAAGCACGGGAGGTCCCTTTCCGATCTGAAATTTACTGGAATCAACCATAACTAAGTCCCGTGAGCCTTTATCCTAAAGCTTCCACATACCGTAGTTTGTAGCACATTTCGCTTTCAAGTCTGTTATATTGAGACCCTGCTTTTCACTTTCAAAATGTGTTATAGTGAGACTGCTTGATCTATTAGAAAGACACCCATGCCCTGTGAAGAATCTAACTCGCTTTTTTCTATTGTTTCATTAATAGACCTTTCTTGTATGTGAAGATCGAGGAAATGGTATTTGTGGCAAAAAACACCATATTTAAAATATGTTTTGACATAGCAATACCCTCATTACTTGCAGTAGCGTAGTTGTGCATTTTTTTCCCTTAGTTGGTGTAAGATAATAATTCCCTAGAACATTGTGTTCATGATTTCATAATATTGGCTGTGGTTGTACATTTTTTTCCCTTGGTGTAAGATAATAATTCCCTAGAACATTGTGTTCATGATTTCATAATATTGGCTGTGGTTGTGCATTTTTTCCCCCTTAGTTGGTGTAAGGTATTAATTCCCTAGAACATTGTGTTCATGATTTCATAATATTGGCTGTAGTTGTGCATTTTTTTCCCTTAGTTGGTGTAAGGTAATAATTCCCTAGAACATTGTGTTCATGATTTCATAATATTGGCTGTAGTTGTGCTTATTGGCTCTCTTCTGATTGTTTTTCACATTTGTCATAATCCGCTCAAGGACAAATTCTTTGGTGACGATCCATCAATTGATGTTTTAACAAGGAAACGAAATAAGTTACTTGGGGTTTCAGCAAGTGAGACAAATGAAGCGAGTACAAGAAATCCTCCATGGGTGCAGTGCTGCCTAAAATCTTATTACCTTGATAAACAAGATGCGTGGGGAAGTAGACAGTACAGAATATTTGGCACTCGGCTAGTAGCAGCAGATTAATAGATGGAACGGAACGCACGCCCGCCTCCCATTTTGTTGAACTATGCTTTCTCATTAAACTGATTGGAAAAGCAGCTTTCAGATATCTTTTGGTAGCAAGCAAGTGGAAGACAGCACTCCTATTTTGTTGAAGAATGCAAAGTGATCAAACTGTGTGAAAATAAACTTGTTTTGTATACATATTAGTTGTCACTACTCTGGCGCCTGTTATTTTGTAGCGCTGTTAGCTAAGTTGACCTTGTTATATTGAAATTCCTCACGATCAATGAGGAACCATGTTAATGCATGTGTACATGAAAGTACGACTCGAGAAATTCCCATGTAAAAATGTTCAATTAGTAGGATCATAGCTCAACTAATTTAGACTTGAGCAATTCCCATGTAAAAAAGTTCAATTAGTAGGATCAGCAAAAGACAGTGCAGTCTCATAAAAATCTACAATGCAATTGCCACGAAATAAATCACAGAAAAAAAAAATATAAAAATCTTTGCTTTCTATGATCCCGGTGATAAACATCTTGAAGTTCTTCCTCTACTGTGTTGTGAAAGTCCCAAGCACGCAAAAGCTCTCTCTAAGCTGTTGAATTCTAATTTCCTGTACATAACGTTAAAGAAAAGATTCTCATTACCTCATTGAAAAGAAAAGACAACACAGGCAGTGATCTAATTTTGTGCAGCCACGTGGTCATTGGGGTGGAGTGGCACAGCCTCAGCAGCAGCAGCAGCAGCAGCAGCAGCCCGAACAACTGCATGCCTCCGTTGCCGCTCTCTAAGATATAGGACAGTGAGGAGGCAGGCAAATAGAGTTAGAATTGTTGCATTTCCTTCCTCCAACAGTACATCCTCCACCCATACATCAATCTTTGGATACACTTCTGGCAACGAATCGATCACATGGACCTAAATCACACATCAGAAACACCCTCAGTTGATGAGCATCCAGGTCGTCTATAATAAGGCAGAAAAATGGACTATTGCAAGAAAAGAATTAAGAAAAGTTCATTGAACCCACCAGAAAACTGTCGGCATGATTCTTCCTTAACCACAGGCTTGCTAGGGCCAGCTTGACTGGCAACCTGGCAGCTGGATCAAGTTCCAGAGCTTGGTCATAGTAACGCTTGGCTAGGTGAAGGTCAAACGGAAGGCCTAGACCATGTTCATGCATGTAACCAAGGTTGAACATGGCTTGTGCATTTAGTTGGGATTTAGCATGCATGTACGCTTCAGCAGCACGATCATAATCTACGTCGGTTCCCTGGGTGGAAATGGAAACGTAGAAAAATGCAAAATCTCAAACACATGATTTTGGAACATTTGTGGTTCAAAAGAAATACTCTCAGAACATACCCGTCCGTAGTAATATGCATCCCCAATCAGTAAAGCAGCGTGTTCGTTGCCCTGCTCGGATGCTTGCCACCAAAGAGAATGAGCTCTCTGATGTAGTTCTGCATCTGTGCAAAAGCCAGATTCTCCCAGACACATGCTTTGTTCTCCATATTTGTCAAGTATCCATGCTGCATTGCTTTGTGCCACCTCATATCCTAGCTCAGCCATTCTTGCGTACAAGAAGAATGCCTTGCCAATATCACTTTTCAGATATGATTCCAATGCCCATCTAGACAATGAACTCCAAGGCCCTCGTTCAGCTACTAATTTGTATAAAGCACTAGCCTGCAACGGTTGAAACTTCAATTATTTACAGAATCTGTGGTCTATTACGATCCCTAATAATAAGTTCAGATTTTGTTTTTAATAAAACGTTTTTTCCAGAAAACCAATTTTACCCAGGTCAACTAAGGAATATAGAAGCCAGACATTTCATGATGCTTTTAAATGGGAGAGTGGACTGGGGGGCTTTGAAAACGTAGTTGAGTGAATTTACCATAGGAATATTCCTCTTGAGCCCAACACCAGTATGAAACATTTTTGCCAGCTGGTAGAATGCCTTTGGTTGTCCAGCATTTGCAGCCACTATAAAATGAGTACATGCCTTCTTCACATCTCTCTTTACCCCAATTCCTTTAAGATACATAACTCCTAGATTATAATGACCACCAGACTCGTCGTTATTGGCAGCCTTTTCAAAGTACTCCTTGGCCTGTATTAGAGGACGTAGCATGTGGGGAACATGCAATGATGACATATGTTATACACGATGTAGGCAGAGAATTGAATTGGGAAAAAAAATGAAACAAGCAGTAATTCAGTTGCCATATCAACATATAGTGAAGAAAACAACATTTAGAACATGAAAATACAAAGAAAAGGATAGGCATTCAAAAGTTGCATTAAGATCCAAATCTTGCAACGACTAAGGGCATGTGGTGGTGGTAAAATGGGAGCAAGATCATGTTACATCCTCCAAGAAAAATGCAATGCCCATCAGAGATTCAAAAGGGCAGATATTGCAAAAAAGAAAGGAAAAAAAAAAAACTATCTTTTTAAGGTAACAGAAGTTAGAGGCTGACAAAATAATAAAGCTAAAACAATCTAAGCTAAGCACAAAACTTCTGAGAATATAGTATAATACTATGAACAGTCAATAGAACAAGAGACAGCCACTAAAATACACACATTTAAGGTAGGGTGACAACAATTGATAGGTAAGTGCAATTCAACTAATAGAACATAAAAACGAAAATAAGCCACCAGATTTCTACGGGCACAAGAGACTAACAACTGTTCAGCTTGCCATACGAATTGAATACACCATTAAATCAAATAGTCTCTAGTTCACTTATGATTCAGGGAAAATGTATTGCCTGAGGTATAGTGGGTTAAGTTCATGGTATCTAATTAAGATAGCTCCGAGGCAAGAATTACAGCAGCATATGGAGACAGAAATTCAAAATTAAAATAGCAATTTCAACAGAAATAATGGGAACCTTACCTTGGTAAAGTTTTTCTCCACTCCATAACCCTTAACGTATAAATATCCTATGCCATTATAAGCAGAAAATGATGGATGCTTGGATGCACGAGTTAGCCATTGAAGTGCCTTAGTATAATCCCTTTCGACTCCGGCGCCCCTTGCATATATCTCTCCAAGTAGTTCCATAGACTTTGGTTCACCTTTATCCACGGCCTTGGCAAACCAGATCAATGCTTTTGCATGATCACGCCTCAACCCTCTCAGTCCAAAGTAGTAAAATAGCCCAATTCTATACATGGCTCCAGCATTACCCTTCTGCGCCTGATATTCCAAAATTTGGAAGTCCTCGTCCTCCTCTCCTCGAGACTTTCTCAAGGCCTGCTTGTTCTCCTCTGCTCCATTATGGATCCTCACAGGTTCAATTACTGGAGAATCCTTGGAAACTAATAAACTATTAATGGCTACCTCTGCTAACTCAGCATAAAGCTTGACTGCTTTTTCATACATCTGCAACCAAGACAGAATTACGCATTGGAAACACGACGAGTAAAAGAATATCAAATCCATATATGCCTACCGATAAAACAACAATTTCTTCATTAATTAAACACAATTCAATAACTAAAGTGCTCGCAGGGTCGCACTTACTTCTTGCCTGAAGTAACTATATGCAAGAGCCATCTTAGATTGCTTATTCCCTTCCGCGGCAAAATAATGATACATAAACGCCTTAGCCTTATTCGTCTCCTTCATTATCCCCATTCCATACAATAACCCTAACACCGATTGCGCGTGCGGATCCCCACTCTCCACCGCAACTTGATCAATATCCCCTACCGCATCCTCCATCAACCTCAGGTCCCCAGAGCTCACCGCTGTCATCATCTTCCCTAACGCAGTGTAGTACAGATCCTCCGGCGCGTCGGGGTCAGAGGCGGGAGAATCCGGTTCAAAAATCGGGCGCCAAGTACCGGGGTCAAGCTCCTGGGCGGCGTTTTGAGATTCAGGCTCCCCGAACTCGTCCCACTCGGCGGATTCGTAGTTCGCTGAATCGGAGGAGTCGTCGGGCGACGCAGCATCCTTGAGGTCATCTTGAGAGATGACAATGAGAAACGGACGAGCGTTGATGAAAAAAGAGCATAGACATATAATTAAGAAAATTAACTGAAGCCTACGAGCTTGCAGTTGCATCCTAATCTGCATTGGGATTGAATTTTTCAAGAACATGAAGAAGGAGGAAGGAAGAAGAAGGAAGAAGAAGGAAGAAGAAGAAGGCTCTGTAGAATTTGCGAGAAAGATCCTGCCCTGAGAGATACGACCATCTGATTAAACGACGACATCCAACGCTTACACGTCAGGTTACTTTCATTCTTCCAATCAAATTTCGACACGTAATCACATCTGTTCGGAAAATATGTCGATTCAAATTGAAAAAGATTTATCAAAATTATTTTTTAAAAGCACATTATATTCTGAATATATCACATTCTAACTAATCTATTCGAAGTGTTTTTAAATTTAGTATTTAATTTTTGAAGATTTTTTTTTTAAAATATAAAGTATTTATATTAAACTTTTAATTTCAATAATTTCAATTATATATTTAAATGATTTCACAACTTTACTAAGATTAAAATTAAATAATCAAAATCTACTGTTAAGAATATATAGCTACTTTTTAAATTTTAAGATAAAAATTAGAGCTTTTATGGCCTTAATAAAAAAAAAAAGTTAATTTTTATGGTAAAATCAAATATTGATAATGTAATTTTATTTTAAAATTTTAAAATTTTGATCTATTTTAGTACACTCGTACTTTCAAAAATTCAAATTTAATAACTCTAAGTTAATTTTTTAAAAAATCTACCCAATTTTCTTTTAAAATTTTTGAAGCATATTCACATAGTATTTTTTTTTAAAAAAATATATAAAATATTGTTATTATTTTACAATTTGATGCATCTTTAAAATAACACTAAAGGTTAAGTTGAAGATTTTTCGGTAATTAACAAGTTTCAATATAATAATAAATGGAGGGGCATCATGCAAATTCCTTAAAAGAAGGGTCTTCTTGCAAATTCCTTAAAAGAAGGGTCTTCTTGCAAATTCCTTACAAGAAGGGTCATATTGCAAATTCCTTTACAAGAAGGGTAATCTTGCAAATTCCTTTACAAGAAGGGTCTTCTTGCAAATTCCTTACAAGAAGGGTCATATTGCAAATTCCTTTACAAGAAGGGTAATCTTGCAAATTCCTTTACAAGAAGGGTAATCTTGCAAATTCCTTTACAAGAAGGGTAATCTTGCAAATTCCTTTACAAGAAGGGTAATCTTGCAAATTCCTTTACAAGATGGGTAATCTTGCAAATTCCTTTACAAGAAGGGTAATCTTGCAAATTCCTTTACAAGAAGGGTAATCTTGCAAATTCCTTTACAAGAAGGGTAATCTTGCAAACTCATCCTATTTTCCCTTGTGCTACTGTCTTCGATTGGCGCTGCTCGTATTAGCTTTTACAGTTGCAATGGCAGTAGAGATCAGGCTCTCTCGAACTAATCGTATCTACAGGCCTTCTGTAAGCCTACTCTTTCCACCTTGAAATCTTTTTGTTATCGTTCAACGAATCCATTACTATCGTTGTTATAATGTTCAGGAACATCTTCAAGGCCAAATCATCGTCAATTCTCGTTCCTCGATTTCCCACTATGGGATTAGCCTCCTTCTCAATGGATCCGTCAATTTGCAGGTTTAATAATCTTGTGGTTTCTTTAGTTTCTTGAAAAGAAGTTTCGTACTGTGTCTTTGAAATTGTTCTTTCTGAGCTACCAAACACCTGCTAAGTGTGACAGAGTCACGGAGGGTTATTGCTCTTGTTTGTAATCGTAACTCTATTCTATTTCTTCATCCGTTGGATGCATTTTATTGAAAAAAAGGTTCGTGGAGGATCTGCGGGAGTTATTGAGTCGGTTTACGGTGTCATCAAGCCTATTTCGATAGTGTGAGTTGCCCTTCTTTACCATTTTTAAGTGAATTGTGGATTCTGTAGGTGTACTATTATGTGAAACTCAAGTAATATTTGAATTTTACTGCGAATTCGTTTCCAACTTTTAGGGATGATAGCAATCTCTTTGTTGATTACATAATTGCCGAGGACACTATAAGCAATGCAACATGAAATCATCTAGGATATGGTTAGGGATTAAGGAATCTAGTGCTTCCACTAGTGATAGCGATTACTGAGCTTATCTTCCTTTCTCCGACCTGAAATTTATATTGGAAATGGTTATCGCATGATTTTATTCTTTTATTTATTGAATGGTTATACTTTATCTGGCTCTATAATTGATTTAGTTTCCTTCGCTCTCATAATGATAGGAATCGGAGCATTGAGGTAAGACCATCTGGAAAGCTTCCTTCAGGTACAACCGAGGTAAATTTGCTGTTGAAAGCTATGCGATCTCTTAGTTTTTACATGAATCAAGTGTTTTATATGCTTATTCACTTGAATTGCGGAATTTAATTTGGTCAAATACTTAATTTCTCTGTTACATAATTGCATGTTTTGTTTATTGTTATTGTGTATTGTGTACCCTCACGGCATATCTTCTCGACCCTGGATTATAGCCTCTTACAAATGGTCCATACGGTGCTGAATAGTTGTTCGTTTATTTGTCGCCTGCACTTTCATATAGTTAACTGAATTAATCCCCTCAAAATCTTGCCAGATACCATTTTCCGTAATTCTGAGACAGCCAGATGAAAACTTGGGAAAATTCTACGAGACTTTTCATGGAACTGACATAAACATTCAGGTGAGTGTGGTGAATCTTTCTACTTTGCTTTTGGCTCTTCAGATTATGAATAAATGCCTAAGGGCATGGTTTTCACTCTTATTCACCTTCCCAGCCAAGTGAAAACTTGGGAGATCTCTCGTAACATGAACCTGATATTTGTCAATTACTGAATAATACGATAGTATTTAGTAACTGTAGGTATAAGTAGAGGCTACCTACACAAGTCATTATCTGCCACGATCGAGTTTATAGTTGAAAGCGATACAGGTCTGCTTTATTTGACCCTTCAACATTACGTTTCTAACATAAGTAAATGAAAATCATTTTTCCTTTTGTTCTGTTCCTAGCTGATTTTCTCGAGCGGCCGTTGTCCTCTGAGATGGTTATCTTTTACATCACTCAGGATACGCAAAGGCATCCACTACTTCCTGAATTAAAATCAGGTCTTTGCATCATTGTTTCTTTTCTTTCATGTTTTATCTTATTCTGGTGTACTTTTTTTTTCTTTCCATTTTCTCGTAGGAATATTTGCATATAAGCCAATAGAAGAAAGTATTGCTTAGTTTTTTATACTCTATTTTAGTTTATCATTTTGTATTTCAGTACATATCCTTTTGCTAATGGGAGGTACTTCTAAATAGGTGGTTTTCGAGTGACTGGGAAAATGGCAACTCTGTGCTCTCTTTCAGATCCCATCACTGGTGAATTAACTGTTGAAGCATCTGCAGTTCCCATTAGTTCAATTGACATTCACTTGTGTCGTGTGGAATCTGTTATTCTTGGGGAGAGAATCATAACTGAAACCTCAGTGATCCAAACTACCCAGGTATGTGCCATCTCATCGTCTTAGCAGATATTAGATTTTGCCGGTACAAAATTTCATATATAAGTTTGATTTCAATTTATTTATTTTATCGCTAGATAGCAGATGGAGATGTCTGTCGCAACATTGCTCTGCCCATTTATGCTATACTACCCCGTCTTTTAACTTGCCCAACAGTCTTTGCGGGGTGAGTTGCAAATATTCATCTGTTCTACTCTTTCTGTTTTTTTTACAACAAATGTGGGGTAAAGATTCGAGACTTTAAGAAAAAAGGAGTAGTTGCCTTATCCCTTGAACTATGTTCATGGGCTGTATTCCATTTTCAATCAAATACTATAATTGGATGGTGAGAGATGAGAACACGCATGAAATGAAACCAAATGTAGAAACCCATCCTATATGAGGATCAAACGTCTGAAGTAAGCACTTCATGATGGGTTCAAAAATTGGACGGGGATTTTTTAAGCATTGGTGTTAAGTTTGGAGTTTAGTTGGGCCTTTCCATTTCCCCATTGGATTATTATAAATGATAATATCGTGTTGAATAACTTTATTTCATTGATAATTGGAAACAACTTTGGTAAGTTGTTCCTTCAAAGTTCTCTCTGTGGTTGGGTTTCAGATCTTGTTGAAGTGTGGGTTTATCACGTCCATCCCTTTCTTCTCTGTCATTCTCATTTTTTATTTAGCTTCTGTATTAATTACTCTTGTAACTTGCCCTAATTGTTTATGACAGTCCATTTTCAATTGAATTCAAAGTTTACACCGTTATAACCTTTCAATCAGAGCTATCGAAGGTACATCCCAAGACTGATCCAAGAACTCCAAGACTATGGGTGAGGAGCTCTCTCTGGGATTGTTTGGACTTTCTCTTGTTTCACTAATCTAACAACCATGTTCTCTTGTTCCAATTTCAGCTTGCCATTGAATCTCTCCCACTAGAGCTTCTTCGATGTCGGTCAGACGATTAGTTCAGCTTATCATGATACTGTATTTCATATATGTCCATTCAACATTTGGGTTTGTATCTGCTATTTCTTTTGGAGGGATGGGGGAGGGGGTTGGTTTTTTGTTTCTGTTTCTGTAAAAAAAAAAAAAAAAAAAAAAAANGGGGGAGGGGGTTGGTTTTTTGTTTCTGTTTCTGTAAAAAAAAAAAAAAAAAAAACAACAACCATGTTCAGTGTATGTGTACTCATTTGTACTATAGAGTAGTGTTATTTTTTCCCCTGCTGAATTCCAATCAATTGATGGATCATTTGATTTGTGAGCTTATTCGATCTTTTCATCCTCTTCTACACCGTTTATTAGTTTTGAATTTGTGAACATAATTTTGATTTTCTTTCATTTTTATTTCCTTTTTTTTAGATAGATTGATTTGCATGCATAATAGATGTTTTATATTGGTTGAGTTATATTCACGTAGAAGTCTCGACAAAAATGTTATTTCATATAAATTCAATTTCTTCATTGTATTAATGATGTGTTTACTCTTACACGTTTGCTCATTTAAAACCGATGACCTCGATATATATTAATGTATTTAAAAAAGGAAATTACTTTTCGTGGGTATTAAAATAAAATTTTAATCGGTAATTTAGTTTTTAGACCATATCATACAAAATGAATAATAAAAAAAAGGGATATAAATTGATTTTTTAAAAAGTAAAAAATGAAAAATGGGCCTCCTCTACTCTATGGTGGGCTTGTCGATAGAAACGGACTACCCTTTATAGGCAAAGCCAAAACATTATGAAGTTACCATAAAAATACACCAATGGCAGAGCAAACAGAGTCGCAGAGAAACCCTGCAAGCTCAACACTCTGGACAACCCCTGCTTCCAAAATCCTTCCTTTACTCAGAACATTGCAGGCTCTACTTCTTTACCTACGGATTATACTCTGTCATTGTCTCTTCTTCAAACCCCCTTTTCACTTTCTTCTTCCATTTCCCTTAATGCACTCATTTTGACCTCAACCCTTCCTCCCTTCGCCACTCACCGACGCCGTTTCTGGTTTCCGAAGCACGAGGACGCCCTCCACAGTACTCTTACCCTGTATGCTTCCTGCCCTTTATCGCTATCTCTCCCTAAAAAGATTAGTTTTGATTTCGCTGGGAATAATTTGAATTTTTAGCTTCTTCATTTGTTCTTCAACTGTATTTTGGAAAATGGGTATGTTCTTAATAGCAAAAAGTTCATTAAATTTACTGTGGTGTTCTTGTTTATTGGATACCTATCTGAGGATTAGAACCAGTTTGTGTATGTAGCAGAACGTTATCTTGGTGTTTTTATACTCTTGGAGCTCTCTTGGAGCTCTCTTTGACCTTGGGTTTGTTTATTTTGTAGCTACGGTATGCTTCTATCTAATTCACTTCTTGTTTTTCCCTTCTTTACCAATATGGGACTTAGGTGGTGTTTTGTGGTTTGAATATTGATGGTTCCTAACTTTTGTTCAACGTGTTTTTTGATTGTGATCTCCAAGCCAGTGAGGGTTCCCACCATGTTTTTTTGAGGCACCAATAGGCATTAGACCTTCTGAACTGTTTCTGCTGTTTTTATTTGTCTGATAGCCTTATTATTTCCGAACTTTTGTTCTACAGAATTTTTACCACTTGGGTATTTGTCATTTCTTAAAGATCTTTAAAAAAATTTAATATGGATAACTAGGAAAGAGCTTCTGAGTGCTTGTTTTTCTAATATTATGTGCCTCTCTCTTTTGATATCTCCTTTTCCTTTCATTTGTCAAATGTAATGGCAACCTGATCCTTTTTATTTGAAGACAAAATCAATTAATAATATTCCCATACTTTGGCTGCAGAGTTTAAATTTACTATGGAGAGTTCTGATGATGAAAAGGATGGAAGTTATGGGAAATATGTTCCAAGAGAACCGAGTCATAATCTAGTATCTAATGGTGCAAAATTTGTAGATGAAGTACTCAATGGACAAAACGAACGTTGTTTAGAAAATTTCCGCATGGACAAGCACATATTTTATAAGTTGTGTGATATTTTGCAAGCCAAAGGCTTACTTCGTCATACGAACCGTATTAAGATTGAAGAGCAACTAGCCATATTCATGTTTATTATTGGTCACAATCTTAGGACACGAGCAGTTCAAGAGCTGTTCAGATATTCAGGAGAAACAATAAGTCGCCATTTTAACAATGTACTGAATGCGATCATGGCGATATCATTGGACTTCTTCCAACCTCCAGGTTCCAATGTTCCACCAGAAATCTTAGATGATCCAAGATTCTATCCCTACTTTAAGGTAGCATGTTGGCTTTAGTTTCACTAGTGTTTTCCTGTCCTGTGGTTTACCTTCTCATTGATTTATCTTGTTTTAGGACTGTGTGGGGGCGATTGACGGTATACACATCCCTGTCATGGTTGGTGTTGACGAGCAAGGACCCTTTCGGAATAAGAACGGACTACTTTCTCAAAATGTTTTGGCAGCATGCTCATTTGACCTGAAGTTCCATTATGTTCTAGCAGGCTGGGAAGGATCGGCTACCGATTTGCAGGTTCTGAACTCAGCACTTACTAGGCGAAACAAACTACACATCCCTGAAGGTGCGTGTATCCTAACAGGAAAACCATGAATCTTTTAGTTCTTGAATAGTCAGGCTATTGCTCTCTGGTCGTTTTCGGGCTAATATTTTTGAATTGCAGGTAAATACTACCTTGTGGATCAAAAATATATGAACATGCCTGGTTTTATTGCCCCTTATCATGATATCCCCTATCAGTCAAGGGAATATACAGGTGGTTATCATCCCCAAGATGCCAAAGAGCTATTTAATCTACGGCATTCGTTGCTGCGCAATGCGACCGATAGAACTTTTGGAGCTCTAAAGGTGCGCTTCCCCATACTATTGTCAGCTCCTCCTTACCCGTTACAGACGCAAGTTAAGTTGGTCGTTGCGACATGTGCAATTCACAATTACATTCGGAGGGAGAATCCCGACGATTGTCTCTTTAGACTGTATGAACAAGACCATGTTTCACATATGGAGGACTCATTGCCTCAATTAGAAGCAGAACAGCTGACGGCACACATTGAGACTCCAACTGTGGACATTGCTTTTGAGACAGAAGAACGAGAGATTACATCACAGTTGAGGGATGCTATTGCAACTGAATTGTGGAGTGACTATATTAACGATATATCGCCCATGTAAAGCAAATGTATGTTATCCTAGCGTCCGAATTAGGTCAGATACTCTTCAGGAACACTAAAAATACACAAATGGGGTCTGATTTTGAAGGTGTATATTGACATTACTATGTTCATATGAAAGGAATATAACAGTGGACATTGTTTTTCTTGTTTTTCTTTTTTTCTTTTAGGAAAGTCAAATTCTTGAGTACTGCTGCCAAGGAAACAACACCAGGTTAGCGTTCTTGATGAGATCTGACTGATATTTGTCTGCATTGAGTTGAATTCTGTTGCACATATCAATCTATTTGGCTGTTGATGCAAGGCATTGAGGATGATTCTGAGCTATCTGAATGTGATTGATTAATATTTGCTTCTTTTTTACTGCTATATTCATCTGGCTTCCATCTGAAAGTACCCCAAAGTTCCCTACCTCGTGTAGCTTGTTTTGATCGGTTGGCGCCCCTCTTGTATGGGGCGGGCTTCAAAGGGATTGGATCTATAAATATTTTTTGTAATACAGATATTGTTCTCTTTAAAATTTTTTTTCTTTTTGGAAGCGGTTAGATTATGATCTATTTAATAGAGTGGGGGAGTGAGGTTTTGGGGTTTTGTATTCATTGGATTCTCTGACTTCCTCTGCTTCACTGCTCACTCATCACTCATTTTAGATTACTTTTCTTTCTTCTTCCTGTCTTTCTGTCTTCCTTTCCATCTCTGGAATTTTGGGATCACGGGTTTATCTTAAGAGGTTGTGATATTTTATAAACGTTTTAAAACTACAAGTCAGGAAAACTCATTTAAGATATGATATGAGAATTGGGAATTGGACCGGCGTGGTGGCGACCTCACTAGTGTAGGTCTCCATGGCACGTTTTAGGTCTCAATTTCCTCTGTTGGGACATTACTGCCACATACAATACTTTTTATGATCCATTTATTTATATAGTACTTCTATCTTGTAGTTATTGATAGAAACAAATAGAGTATTTAGCATGAAATATAATATAATAAGGTATTGTTTGCTTATTACAATTTTGCCCCTCCTGAGTTATGTAAATTACATATAAAGATGTGGAGAGTAGAAAAGTAAAAAGTGAAAAAGTGGAAGGACAAAATTGAGAATAAATAAAAGAAAACAGACACAAAAAGGCTGCACGCACTAACAAATCATTTCAAAACCCATTTCTATTTTCATCTCTCTGTCTCTCAATTTCTTCTTCTTCTTTGATTTTACTTCTCATTCAAATTTCAGTCTCGGTTGCTATACCAAGAGACCTTAAGAGATGTTGAATCCGGCCAACGATCTGTTACCGCCGCCGTCGTCTCCGACCAATTCATCCATTTCCTCCTCCGATCTCGACACCGAGGTGCCCACCCTCGCCGTCTCCCATTTTCTGATTCTTTCTCTGTTTTTCATTTTGGGAATTCAATTTTGTTTTGCAGTCTACAGGTTCGTTCTTCCATGACAGGAGCACCAGCTTGGGAACTCTAATGGGTGTTAGTTTCCCGGCGATTACCTTCCGAGTGCCCTCCCAGAACCGAGACCAACACACCGCCGCGACCAACGCCGCTGGTGGCGGTTCCCGCAAGAGTAAGAAGCCAAAAAGAAAAACGACGGCAGCGCCGGCACTGGTCGCAGATCGGAAACGGCGGTGGTGGCGGCTATGCAGGGATGACGGTGTTAAGCCGGCGTCTCTGGGCGAGTTTCTTGAGGTGGAACGGCGATTTGGGGACGGTGCTTTCTTCGACAACGCGGTGGATCTGGAAGGCGTAGTTTCGGCGGATCAGCAGAGGAATGGCCGGTATTTGTTCGCCGATGGGAGGGTTCTTCCGCCGGCCCAAACGGAGGAAGATACGTCTGCGGCCGGCGCTCTGTGCCGATTTTCTGTATCACTCACCGGGATTTGCAGCGGCGGTGCCGGCTAAAATGTGGGATTTGATTTGTCAGGGTATATTTAAAATCTTATATTATATTTAATTAATCAAACGCTTGAATTAAGGTGGAAGAAAAAAGAAAAAAAAAATGTCACCTTTATCGTGTAGGTGACCCTCTTTTTTTAATTTCCTTTAATCAACTCACAGGTTACTTCTATCTTCTTTTTTTCTTTTTCAAAATAATAATAATAATAATAATAATAATAAAATAACACTCAGATCTTCATTTTTTAAGCTTTTGGAGATATACCCATTTATATATTTTTCCAATCATAACTAACATAATTGATATCATTAAAGTCCTCAAATACTAAATTAATTCTTTAATTAACCCTAATTGAAGTTTAAATAATACTCTATATTAGCCAAAGTCAATTAGAGCATAATTTAGCAATTAAAATAACTTTTGCCAGCTCTAAAAAGTCGTAAATTTAAATTAACCGCCGACATCCATGTGTAAAAGATGCCTAACCAATATAGCAGATATATATTTCTACCCAACACAAATACAACCTAAAGTTATTAGTCTTTTGAGTGGATATTTGAATTTATGATCTTTTGGTCAATAATCTATACCTCGATCGGCTAAGCCATATATGAGTTGACATGAAAGTTATAAGTGTTTTGAGTAGATATTTGAATATTTGGTCTTTTCATCAATAATAGTCTACTTTTCATCGATAGTCTATACCTCGACCGACTGAATGTTTAAGTTGACACGAAAGTTAATTAGTCTTTTAAGTTGGTATTTGAATCACTAGTCTTCTGGTCGATATTCTATACTTTAACCAAGTGAGTCATATTCAAGTTGACATAAAAGTTTAATGCTTAGTAAATTAGAATATGATTGATAGGTGAATAAATATACCCCAGAGGAGTAGAAATAGAAGGAAAATTATGGGCAAGATTTCCAAGGTTCATGTGGTCTAATAGCAATGGGCCATATATTTTGAAGGTGGGAACACCATCGATGTCAATGTCATTGGAGATGTGACATTTCATTTAAAAAAATGCCAAAGGAGTTATTTGAGAGGATAAAAAGTTAAATCCAATTAGAGATTGAAAGCAACCAACCAACCAAATGAGTTTTCAATATTTGTAGACATCCATTGTTACCCACCAAACAAGATGTATATATTTTATGTCACTTTCACCTTAAAAAAATGCCTAAATAACCTTGACATTGAAAGATTTAAGGGAAAAAACAAAGCAGACAAAGAAAATGACAGGCCTCACCAACCATTACTTGCTATGTCTACAAGAAATTCACAGTTCAAACAGCAGAGAATGATGGTTAAAAGGAAACAATTTTCATGGTTGCACAAAACTTGCTATCTATCTTGCCACATGCTGTATAACTAAAGGGCTTCAGGATTTCTGGGCATTTCTAGTTCAGAATGTTCAAAAAGCTATGAAAAACAATTCCAACAAAAATAACTCACAAGGATTATATAAGTTACGAGTTCCGGGTTCATTCCAGCTCTATAGGAATCAGCGAATTTTCGTTATCTTCGACTCATTTTTTGCCTCATTTTTTGAAAGCCATTAAAGTTACAGCAGCTGAGAGAGAATACCTGCACAAAGATCAGTCATGGCAAGAATAAGAATGAGAAAGACCTCCAAATGTGAAATGCCTGAAATCTATTATTTCTATCGGTAAAATAAGATGTCATTACTTGGGTGAAAAATGTGTGAGATCCTACATCGATTGAAGAGGGGAATAAGTGTAAGGAGTTAGATTGTGAGATCTCCATTTGATAAGGGAACAAAACATTTTTCAGGAAAATGTGAAACCTCCCAAAAAAAAATACTTAAAATAGTGTGTACAACATCGGCTCCCTGCAAGGGTAATTGGATGATGTGATATTGAAAAAACAGAATTTAAACTTTCAAGGATGGAAAACGAAGCAAACTTTGCAGAGAAAAATGGAAATTACTTTTGGCCTCCTAAGAAGCCAAAAACCTGACGCGCCATACGTTTTAATGAAATAGAGTTTCTGCATCTCCCAGTGGTCTAATTCTCTTTGGCATAGAAAATATTGCAACAAAAATTTCCACCTACACCACTGACTGAATCCATGCCTCAATAAACCAATGCAGCAAGGGGCAGGGAAGGCCTCATCAGTTTTTAACACAAAAATGTGTTGAATGCCTACTTGTATTAGATCAATTACATCTCAATTCGTAAAAACAGGAGCCTATTCGATCATCTCGACTCTCTTTGTTTCTCAAAGAAAATACCGTACATACGCGATTATCAACAATCAAAATCAGAAGAACCTAAATCATGCTCCAAAATCAAGACCAATCCATAGAGAAGAAAGTTCAGAAACTCACGACGATTGACGATCAAACGCAGAAGAGACTGTAGCGGCAGAGCTGAAAGAACAAGAAGATGAAGGTAAAAGGCACGGAACATTTGGTGAGTTTTTCAGGCTTCTTCTTCAGCTAACCACTCTGTTCTGTTAATCTCCAAAACTCAATTCTCGGGGACTTGAGGGTTATATAAATTGCCTTCCAATTTTACCCTCTCAATTCCATCTATTTGCTTTAATATCCCCACAAAATTGTTACCATGGTTGCACAAATTACAAAATAATTCTTTTTATAATTTGTAACATTTTGAGGGCGATTATAGTAATTTCACTTAATATATATATATATATATATATATTATTAGAATATTCATCCATAACATAATCAATAACAAAAGTAGAGAAATTATTAATAATTCAATTTCATTAATTTAAAATTGAATAAAAGAATACAAATATAGTTTGTGTGGTACCAAAAGGAAAATATTTTTTAGATAGGGACCAAATTGCAAAAAATGTTGGATAAAAAATAAAGATGGAATAAATTATAAATTAAAATGAACAAGAAGACCTAGAATGCTGAAAGGAGCAAAGCCACGACTGAGGAAGCGGCGGCGACGCCATGGCCAATTCCGTAAGTTGGATTGTTCCTGGTTGCGCCGCCGGTAGAAGAATCTGAATTGAATTGAATTTAATTTACAAACATTTTGATTAATCGAAAACACTCTAAATTAACCAATAATTTAAGCAAAGAAAAGAAAAATCAACAGAAATTTACCATTCAAACCGGAAGTGTTGGCGGTCGGAGAAGGAGTAGTTGATGAAGAAGGTCCTTCGGTTGAGCCGGTTGGCGACTCAGCTGAAAATTTGGCGTAAATTTAAGAGAAATGGAAATCGGATTCAGAGAATTAAATCAGGGGAGAAATGGAAGTTCACCATGGCTGCAGCCGGAGATATCGAGCTCGGCTCCGCAATTCTTAGGAAGCTCCAAGGCTCGGCTCTGCGAGACATTCAGAGTATTTAGCATTTTCTCATTGTTGAAGAAGGAGCATAGGCACGGAAGATCGGAATTCAGCAACTCCTTTAAGGGCGTACAGCACGCCGTCGGCGGATTTTCCGGCGACTTGATGTACGGTTGACACGAAAGCATCTGCCTCATACACGGCGGAAGTTGGCGGTCGAGAATCGATTCCGTTCCTTTGAGAAATTCGCTGAGATCTTGAGAGAATCCGACGAACATCTGAGAAGAAATCAAGAGGAGGAATGCGAAGAATCTCGACGACGCCATTATTTCCGGTAGGATGAAGGTCTGCTTTCTTTATTGGATTGACGAAAATGTTGTGATCGTAGAGGGGAAATTAGGGGGTAATTATGAGGGTTTGATTGTAACCAGCGGTTTTTACAGGGTGGTTCAAATTCAGAGGACGGCTTCTTTCGCGGCGGTTACATTACATCAACCGTTTTTCGCGGCGGTCACATTTTCAGGTAATTTCAGTTATACAGTCCTATGAATTTAATGTTTAGTCCCTCAACTTCCACGAAATTGCCCCACTAAACGAATTATAAATAAAATATATAATTTTAAACAACATTTGTGTCATCGAATGACAGTTTGGCCGAGTGGTCTAAGGCGCCAGATTTAGGCTCTGGTCCGAAAGGGCGTGGGTTCAAATCCCACAGCTGTCATGTTTTTTATTATACTTTTAATTTACAACTTCGCAGAAGTCTCGGAGACCCTTCATATCAGTGTCAAGACCAACAACAAGGCTTGGAATTTAACTATGTTCGAGACCTAATTTGAACTTCCCAAATATGCAAACCTTTAGCTCCACGAGGTTGTCGTGCTTTCGCAGCGAACAACGCTCAACGTGATCGAGCCCTCGAATTGTTTCGGAGATTGTTTTGACAGTAATGACATCGATTCAACATTCACAAATTTCAGTCATGTTACCTTTAGAGACATCAAAATACATAACAACTTCTACATCTTTACAATTTGTCTCGTTTCTTTTCCTCGAATAAGCTGAGATTCATAACGAAAACCAGAAACATGTTTTGTTTTGCCATCAGCTACTTTGGATGGATAATGTTGGAAAAGGTTTAAATGTCAGATCAAACATCATAATGCAAAGCCAATAGATTGCTGTTCATTGCCTTAAGTAAAAGCTTATCTATAAGAATGGGGAAAAAAGTATAAATATCAGTAAATTGTCCATGCTCTGTCTCCATGTTTGGTTGAATGTTCTTGTCTTGTGGGGTCTCTCACTTCCGCCCATATTAAATTATTCCTTCCTTAAATTTTAAAATAACATGTGAACACTAAAAAAACAGTCTTCGAGAGAGAGAGAAAGATCATAAAGAACACTGCAAAATGTTCCCAGCATGCATGTGATGAGTGGGTCCAAAATAAATGAACATTTTCTGGATGATTCTCTGTCACGTTTTCAAGTTGAACAAAGAACAAATACATAGCATAATCATTCAGAATAGTTTTGCATAATTTTTCGAGGATTGTTTCTCTGAGTATAAATCAAAGCAATATTGTACAAAAGAAAAATATATGAAAAGCGAAACCAAGAATGGATTTAAGCTAACAGATTGACAAAATTTGCTTTAGATGATTATATCTAAACTTCTCTAATATGGAGGACACACCTATTTGTCAGGCCATCAGATCCAACGTTGTGGACGAGCAGTCTGACGGTTTCTTTGCAATACTGTATGGGCAAGTGTTTATCCTAACAACAATCCAAGAAAGAACTAATGAAATCCCGAGTTGAAATGGAACTAAACATTCGAAGTAAAAACACCAGACCGAGAACTTACCGTTCCTTGCGCTTCTCTAAAAACCGAACTAACGATGCCTTTCGAGCCTGAGGCACAGCTGCAGGAACGAATGTCGGAGCAATCGAGGCAATCAGTGCAGCGGAACTGGCATCCATGGGAGGTTCTGAATGTATAGGTTTAGCAGCAGCAGCAGCAGCAGCAGCAGCAGGGAGCTCAATGTTACTACAAGGGAATGATGCTTTCACCTGACCTGTGGAAAGCATGTTGTTTTGTGTTTGAGGCATCCCTTTGCTACCAGCCAGAAGCATAATAGCCTGAGCCTGAACAGAAACAACAATAAACTAAGAATTGCTTCTTCTCTAAATGGTGAGAAGGCAAGAACAAACTAGAGTTTTCAAAACCTTCTCAGGAGATATATCATTATAAACACACACGGATCCCGCATAGAAGATTGTCAGCTGCGCCATCGAACCGAGAGGCATTGAAGCATTCCTAGAAACAAAAGTAAGCATCAATTTACAATACAGTTTAGCTACGAACTCTTTCCAAACTCTGTCTCAAAAGAACAGTACCTTAACTCGGTAGTACCGACTACAGAGCTCGTCAAAGGAGCAGAAATGGCGGTGGGAATCGGAACCCCACCTAACGGCTGCAAGTTAACACTGGAACGAACCACAGGGTCGGCGTTTTGGAAACGGTACGCTGTCATTGCATACTGGTTTGCAGGCTTCTTATCAGGGGCTACATTCTTCTACACACACAAAAGAGAAAACCCAGAAGCCAAATCAATGAGTTTTCACCAAAGAATGGGAGTTCTTGACGATCATGAAGGAGAAAAGGGAAGAAATTGAAACCTGAATTACAGAGGAATAAGGGCCAAGTGGGTCGACAGTAATTTTCCTTTGTTTCTCATCTTGAGCGGCCTTGAAAGACAGCAATTGGGGAACAGCGGAGACCTTGTTGGAGAACGACCACTGCATACCTGAACCACACATAATCATTCAACGCATGGTTTAAAAATCATGTATTAGCTGAGGACAAATAATTTTAGAGATTAAGAAAAAAAAAAAAAAAAAAAAAGCTGCATATATAATTATATCATCATTATTATAACGAACACCCATAGCGACGTGTGATTAAAAAAATTTAAATAAATAAACTTTTAAGTTTGGTTTTGAAAAAATTAATAAACCTTCAACCACGCGTTTGAAATATTTAATTGTTAAAAATAAAATAAAAAAGCACCTATCCAGCTGTATCACTTATTTCTTTAACATTGCACTCAACGCGCCAAATCAATTTTTTTTTTTCAATAATGAATTAAAAGTTTAAATTTAATAAACTTAAATGGGTTGAATTCTGGGTTTTAAAATTATTATGAAAATTAAGAATATTTATAAATTTTATGTATTAAATATTTGAGCTCCATTAAATTTATAATTATTGATAAATATAATTTTTTATAATAATTAAAAAAACCATCTAAAAATAAAAAATTAGATTAATAACTACTTATTGCATAAATTACATTGGTTGTTTAAAAAATAAAATAAAATTCAGACAATTTTTTATTTTGATTGAATTAAATACCTTCAAATTCTATATATTTCCCAAATAAAAAAGAATTATAGGACTTAAAAGAACCCTTCTCGGAATTTACAATATCTCAGGCCCATAATCATTTGATTTTATCTCTATTATTTAAAATGTTTTTAAAATCCAAGTTTAAAAAAAAAAAAAAAGATAATAAGAAAATGTAAGGAATCAAACTCAATTTAAGTAGAGAAAATTAATAATAAATGATTATTATATGGGAATAAGAAAATAAATTTCCAATTTAAACACAGTACAAGAGGTACGAAACTAATAATTTTTTAAAATTATGAATTCAATTTACTATGCAAAAAAATCCCCAAAAAAACTTTTTGGCTGTCAGTTCTTTTGTACCTCAAATTTACATTTCAGTACAGCGCGCCAAACGTGGTTTCTACGCTCACTCTCACAGATTTTCCTTCTCCTTCGAAAACAAGAACTCTAGCCCTAGCAGATAAATTCAAATATCCAATCCACCAAAATAGTTTCCGTAAATCGGCGATTTCAAACTCAACCGCCATGGAAATTGAAACAGAGAAATCGAAACGGAGAAATCGAAACAGAGAAATCGAAACAGAGAAATCGAAGAGGAAGAGGAAGAAGACGAGGAGCCATAAAAGTACCTGTATTTTTGGAAGCATCTTCAAATTCTTCTTTCAAAGCCATAGACACAATCTTCGAGTTCAAACCTAAGAAATCTCTCTCCATTTCGAATCGAAAGAATTAATACTCACAGAATTTCGTCACGACGAAGAATCGAACCAGTATCGAGATTCTAAACCATGAAAATTTAGGAACACACACACACAGAGAAATCGCCGCACAGAGGAGAAAAGAAAGAGTTCTCGTTTCTTTAAAAATCAAAGCGAAAGGCAAAGCGAGAGAAGCACGTCTTTTTATTTAAAAATAAAATAAAATAAAAAAGTAATTTAATGCTGGTAAAAAAAAATTAAAAAATTAATTAATTAGCCTCGTGGTCTCGTCAAATATGAGCCGTTGGATTGAAAAAGAGATTCGGGTCATTGAGATGCGGGCCGTGGGTCGCTTTGAAAGTGGGTAAATTTGGAAAACAACCACGTGCGAAGCGAGCTACGAGACTTTACCGCCACGTGGCCATTGTTGGATTTTTTCGAACCCGTGAGCTCAAAACGTGAATTTTTTTTTTCTTCTCATTGCTGGTTTTCCTATTACTTTATTCCTTTTATTAATATAATAATATATTCTATTCCACTCACTCTACACAACCGAATAAATAAATAAACTCTTATCTACACAAATTAATATTTAAATATTCTTCTCCCCTTTAAAATATTCTTTTCCATGTCATTTTGTACTAAAAATTAATTTCAAATGCTTTAAAAAACAACATTAAATATTCTCTTTCTTTTTCTTAAAATAAAGTCCTTCCATACCAACTACCTTTTGTTTTTTTTTTTGTTTTTTTTTTTTTAATGAGGGGAATTATAAAAATATTTTTAAAAATTAAACCACATTTAAATAATGTCGTATTAATATCTTCTAACCCTTTTTAATATTTTATAAATAATAAATAATTCATTCCCTTGATTTTATTTTTATTTTTTATTTATATTAAAGAAGATGGAAATTCGAATCTATTTTTATAAAAAAAATTGCAAAATAAATTAGCTATTGATGTTATCAATGAGACAATTAAACTGGTTTTTTAAAGTACGGCAGCTAGAAATTAAATATCACGTTGAATATGAATATTATTTAATTCCGAAATTAAGCCATTGAAAGTACCGTGCATGTTACACAATTATAATAATATCTTAAAATTAATTGTCTCCAGTAAACTATTTTATTATATAAAAAAATCAAAATAAAAGGCTTTCATGGGAATTTTATCTTTTATTATCCCTTTTTTGTTAAAGAAAATTGTTGAGGTAAAAAAAATAATTAATTTTACATATAATAAAATAACGCCAATAGATTATTTTTGGTTTTGTTGAAATAACATATAATAAAATAAAACAAAAATCAATAGCATTCCCATATTTCAGTTAAAACTTAACATTTAGCTTCAATTGTGGGGTAGGCGCATAAGTGTGGGCCATACACGTCGGATCGTATTTATGGGTCCTACTAAATTTAATATTATTATTATTTGTAAACTATTATTCATAATTCTATTAATTACTTGGTGAATTTATTTTGTAGTCAAATGTTTGAATTTTCAACCGTGCATAATTGAATAGATAAATACAAACCCGTCTAAAAATAATAAATAAAAAAAAAAAGTAAGGATTTATCTCACATTTCGAACCCTAACAAAATATTGATCAAAGACGTCGTTTTCTTTACGTATTTTAAAATTTAAATGTTCAACTTGTATTTTAAGTGGACATATTTTATTTTTAAATTTCGGAAGATATTTTCAATTTTATGCAATTTCCAAAAAAAAAATGTAAATAGACCAATCATTTTATCAAAAATTATTTTATTCTTAATAAATATTTTTAGACATGCTAAAATTTTTAATACCATATTGGTATTATAAATCAACGTATATAACATTTCTCTAATTTAGCTCGACATCAATTCGATCCAATTATTTGTTTAAAGTATCGGCATAGTAATGTAATATTATTCTATTAAAATAAAAGAAATATATTTATATTTTCTATTTTGAAAAAAAAAACTATGAAAGCAAATTTAGTTTTTCAAAATAAATTTATTATTGATTATTATTATTATTTTGACTCCCACGTGGTGTGGGGCGAGATGGGTATAATATTGGTTTTATTATTTAAAATTTTATTACCAATAATTCGAACATCTATTAATAAATAAAATATTAACGTGTAATATGTCAAAACTGTCTGTACGTCTTGAGAATGTGATCCACTATAGATTGAATCATCCTAACAATTAGAATTCAAGCTACCCAATCAACTAATTATAGGAGAAGCCACAAAACCCACCTTAACCATTTGACCTTCAACCGAACCAATCCTGATAAGAGTGTTGGATCAGTCACGCCCAACACATGCACCCAATGGCATGTTAGGTGCAAAAGAGTGATGACTAACATCATCAAAGTCTATGAAAGGCAATTTAAATAAATCTTAAAGTATTAATCCTCACTTCTTAATTTTTTTAAATTTTGTATTTTTGTTATCGTTAGATTTTCGTTCACTGAATTATTAGAATATTAAATCGAACGGAAGAATCTAATACCTATTATTTTAAAGTAAAAGAAACTTGATAAATAATCAACGTCTACATCAATATAATAAATTATATGCTCAATAAAATAAAATTCAATTAAAGCTTATGCCTAAATATTTTATTTAACCTACGATTCCATATGATATACATTTTCAAAAAAATAAATCTAATTAATTTGACTTCCCGAATTCCAATATTTTGGACATAAAAAAAATTCAAATTTCCTGACATTAAAAATATTAAATCATGAGTTAATGTCAATTAATAATTTATATATAAATAATAAAGCTGAAAGAAATGGGCTGAGCCCAAATTAAGATAGAAATAGCAAAGAGAATACCGGCCCATAATCACCTGGCCCATTCATATTATTTTTTGTTAAATTGTCAATTATACCCCCTTAATAGGGATAAATTTCAATATTGCCCAAATTAGATGGGAGGAACATCAAGTCATTAATTATTAATTTCATTTTCGAAAATATAATTTATGAGCTGAACGAACAGACTGTGACATATCCACACAAATGAACCAAAAAAAATCAATATTAAAATTAAAACCGAGACTCTTATTACCATCCAAAACTCGGTCGTTCGATTGCCCACTCTTGCATTAGTTGAACAGCCCCAGTTTCAACGCAATCACGACCAGCTAATAAACCCTTAAATCGACCCAAGTCGAGTAACAACAAAGAATTAATAAAAATCAATCATATTCGGTAGACAAGACTCTTATTACCATCTAAAACTCCGTCATTCCATTACCCACTCCTACATTTGTTAAACAACCCAGTTTCAACACAATCACGACCAACTTATAAACCCTCAAATCAACACGAGTCATATAACAACAAAGAATTGTAAGGTTGACCCGTAAAGTATTTCGAGTCTAAACTTCAGATATGACCCAACAGAGATGAAAGTAATCTTGTAATGTAGCAACAAATTTGTGGGACATGGGAAAGGGGCAGCTGCCTATGTAGCAATTAAAAAGACAGCACAGTTGGGACATTGTATTTAATGTCCTCCTCAGTAATAATGTATGGCCCCAACAGACATGTCTTGCCCAATTACACAACAATGATGCATGAAAGAAGCTGCCTTAATGAGTAGTGAATGTATTCATTTCATACCAACCAACAGCACACAAATGAGATGAACTCTTTGAATTGGGTATCAAAAGCTATGAACTTTATCTTTAAAGGGCTAAAGAGTGGACATCACAACAAACAAAGTTCATCATAGAAGCTAAAGAAGAAGAACAAGAACATCTCATCAATATCGACACATCAAAAGCAAAAGCAAAAGCCAAAAGTAAAGGCAAAGGCAGTAATTAATTGCATCACCAACCCAACAACAAATACAAGACATTAAAGGAATTCAAACTGTTGGTAAATCTTTACCTTCTTACTTCTTCTTGGCTTCAAATGAAAGATATGATGGCAGGTAGGTAAATAAATTGAGAATGCAACAAATGGAGATAAAATTTACCCTATAAACCACCAACAAACTCACCTAGAAGACATGTCGTCTGATTCACGAGCAGCGTCGGGTTGTGGATTGACAACTTCGTGTAGGCTGGATTGGCGAAGCTCTTCTATACGCTTTGTGACTTCGGACATTGTGGGGCGCTTATCAGGATACTGAGCTGCGCAATCGACTGCAAGCTGCAATAGTTGAACCATTTCCTCCTCGATGTTTTGGTACCTAAGAAGTTCGAGGTCGAAAACTTCAGAAGTCCATTCCTCCCTAACAACTGACTGCACCCATCTAGGTAAATCAACTCCTTCCTCATTCAAAAGGGAGTAGGTAGGAGCCTTTCCTGTCAAAAGCTCCAATAGCAATACGCCAAAACTATACACATCAGCCTTATGAGATACTTTACGAGGATCAGTGACCTCTGGTGCACGGTAACCAACTACTCTGTTGGGGCTGGAAGATGGTCCAACAAGATGCGCTAAACCGAAATCGGAGACTCGAGCATCATAGGATTTGGTTAGTAGAATATTCGAAGATTTTATATTTCCATGGGAGACACTAGGACCTTGTGAATGCAGATATTCAATTCCACGAGCAGCTCCAAGGGCAATTCCAGACCTGATTTCCCAACTCAATGGAGTCCTTCCAGCTCCTTTGTTTCCTGTTGTCCAAAGTAAGCAACAAGGAAAGAGTAAAGCTTTAAAATGTACAACCAATCAATCCAAATCAAACTAGAGAAAGTAGAGCCAATTATGATCAAAACGTAAAACTAAGCAAACGTGTAACAGTCTAAGCCTAAGCCTAAGCCCACCGCTAGTAGATATTATCCTCTTTGGGCTTCCTTTCGAAGTTTTGAAAACGTGTGTGCTAGGGAAAGGTTTCTACACCCTTATAAAGGGTGTTTCGTTCTCCTCACGAACCGATGTGGAATCTCACGAAACAAAACAGCTTACCGTGTAGAAGAGCAGATAAGCTTCCCATGGGCATGTAATCATAGACAATAAGCTTCTCATCAGCACTGAAATAGTAAGCCCGGAGAGGGACCAAGTTTTCATGATCCATAGAACCAACAGCTTCAACCTTCTCTCTGAATTCCCTCTCAGTTATGGTGACATCCTTCAACCTCTTCACAGCCACTACAGAACCCACTTCCAATGCAGCTTTGTAAGCAGTCCCAAAGGTTCCTTTCCCCAACACTTCGGCTGAAGCCCTCAAAAGATCCTCCAAATCAAAAACCCTTGCAGCATTACCAAAAAACACCAATTTTATAGACCCAGTTCCATTGCCATTCACTGTTCCCGCCGCCGCTGTTGCAGCAGCAGTGGCAGTGGCAGTGGCAGTGGCTGGTACAGTAAAACCATCACTATGACCGCCATTTTCGATATCGCCGACTGGCTTAACCGCCTGAACTTCAACTTCAGGAACCTTCACTGTGGCTAAATCGACTGAACTCGTTTGCTTGGCACTTTTCTTTCGGCACAAAAGCATTAAGATTACAAGTATCAATACAAAACCCAGTACAGATCCAATGATAATCCCAGCAATGGCTCCCCCCGACAGCTTTTTCTTGTGTCCAGAGCCACCATTGTCCCCAACCTCCCCAGTCGGCACAACAAGATCACCAACGCAAGCCTCTAGAGGGCGGCCGCAGAGAGAATTGCCCGAAAAGGAACGCGAAGAAAACGACTGTAATCCCTTTGGAACCGACCCATTTAATTGATTGTTAGAAACATTGAACTGATCCATAGGGATCTTCAAATCCGGGATAGACCCAGACAGGCGATTGTTCTCGAGGAACAGTGTCCTAAGACGGGTCAAATTGTTGAACCCAGAAGAGATCTCCCCAGAAAAGTTATTGGACGCCAAATTAAGACGAACAAGATCATGAAGCTGGAACAAGAAATCAGGGACAAGACCTGCAAACTCATTACCTTGCAAATAGAGGTTGCGAAGATTAATGCAGGCAGAGAGATCTGATGGGAGTGGGCCGGAAAGGGCGTTGAGCCGAAGGCTGAGAGTGCGAAGCTGAGTCAAGTTCCCAAAAATGCCGGTCGGTAATTGACCAAAAAGCGCCTCTCCGGGAAGACGCAGAACAGTGACACGATTGTCCTCGCATTGAATCCCAGGCCAAGAACAGTGATTCTGATCAGTCACATTCCAGAGCCGAAGAGTTCGGCCACCCACAGCAGAGCGAAGGGCCAACAGAGCTGTTCTATCAGAGCCAAGATCTGGCATCACAGTAGATAGTAGAACACAGAACCCCAAAAGAAACAGAGCAAGCAAACGAGTTCCCATCTGGGTTCGCATTCTGAGATGTTTAGAGCAAAACCCAGTTGAGATTCTTCCAAACGGGGGACTCTGATCACAAAAATTCCGAAACCCAATAAGGTTCGCAAGGCATTGGTTGGAAGATTGAAAAGAGAGAGCGATAGAACTAGAAAAAAGGGTAGAGTATGAGCTGGGGAAGCTGCAAATTGTGTGCTGTCGGCTGCTTTTTTCAATTGGGTAAGAGGAATTTCACAGCGTTAACAGGCTGTTGCTAAGAAGATGAACAGATTTCCCCTTTTGAAATTTTTTTAGTACTCAGAGAGAGAAATGGATAGAGAAAAGGAAAGCCATAGCTGAGCGTGTAAGCATTCCATGCTTTTTGGTGTATCCAAAAGCCAGCGGTCACTCTCTAGCTTGTCAAATTCACACACCTATTTTCATTTTTCTTTTCTTAAATTTTTGTCTTTATATATTCCATCTATTTTTCATTCCAAATGCTTACATTTTCAAATTTATTAAATTATGTTTAATTATTTATATTTTAAAAAATAAAATTATGTTTAATTATATATTGAACTAAGTATTAATTAAAACTATAAGATTAGCTCAAATATGTTGATTTTAATGTAAGAAATCAATAATAATCATAGCTTATTCACTTAATCTATGTAACATTGCTTCTAAAGTACCAATAATTATAGTTTGGATAAATTAGTTATTTTATTTTTCATGCAATTTTGACCTTCATATCTTAATCTAAATTCATTAAAACTACAATTAAGCTATATTAGATATCTTTCCATTTATTATAATAATAATACAATTAAGCTAATTAAACATAATTTACCATTCTATATTAAATTTGTTTAATGGTCTTTTGGTAACATGAAGGAAGCTCTTTTTTATTTTTATTTTTTGTTTTTATAGTTAAAATAAATATTCTCTAGAAATGTTGTGGTTCAGTTTAATTATATACCCAACTCTTTTTTTTTTTTTTTTTTTTAATTTTGGGACAATATTATTGGAAATTGAAAGGGCCCAAAGTTAGGTGACAAAATGTCTATCCAGAGGATACTTTTTTCTTTTTTGTATTAATTGATTGTTGTTTGATTCCAATGTTTTCGTTACATAAACTTTTTCATTCTAATAATTACCTTTTGACCTATTTTTCCTGACAAATTACTTTCTTTATAATTAAAACTTTCATTTAATTCATTTGGTAATTACTTTAATTTTGTTCTTTTTTTCAGTTTATAATTATAACATTCCGAACATTACAAGGTAAAGCTTATATGATATGACATTTAATGAATAGATGAAAAACTAGATAAAAAACAACCTAATCGAGAGAGTTAGTTTGAAAGACATAATTAAAATTTTCTTTTCTTAAATAATATTTTTTCATCTCACTCGATCAAATATTCATGTAAATAATGTGACATTCATCAATTACTAGATACGCTATACGCTATACGTTAGCGTATTTCTTTTAAGTATTATTATTTTATTCATATCACATGTGGGAGTACATAACAATTAATTAATTACATAGGTGTGGGTATTTTTATAGTTAAAAGATATAATTAAATAAGAGTCGGTATGATGATTTTATATAGAAAGTGGCTGAGTTATTAAAATTAATGCTTGTGGTTTTATTATAAAATTGCAGCCCTTTATCATTTACGTTAACACCAACATCCAACTAATAGTGATAAAAGTCTTAAATCATTTAAAATCATTTCAAGGTAAAATAAATCATAACATAAAATTAAAAAAAAAAAAAATAGTTCATAGATAATTATAATTCAATAATTAAAAAATCATTTTAAAATTGAGAATCCAAATATACCATCCTTAAAACCTGGAACGTTTTAATTAGGGAAGGCTACCTGGGGCGGCCCACGTGGTTTGATTACGTGGCAGCCCAATAAATTCAGCCGGCCCAGCCTGCTTTAATTTAGGGCCGACAAAGATTACTTTTTTAGGGAAAAGTTATGAAATGAGGTCTGAAAAGGTAAATATCAGAAGGATTATAAATAATAAAAAGTTTAGCCCAACACTTCAAAAAAATCTATAGCTATTTATTATTTCAAAGAAAATAAAAGAAAGTTATCCTCTCCCCTTTATGCTTTATTTTTCATCTTAAAAACACGTAATTATGGTTAAAAAGATTATAAAGTTTCAATCTTCAACTGAAGGAAAAAAAAAACTAGTTTTGATATTGTCCACTTTGGTTTTGCTTTGGGCTTCCCTAAAAGTTCTCATACCAACGAAGAGAGTATTTCTTGATTAAAAACTCATGATCATTACCTAAATTAGCCGATGTGGGACTTTCATCATCCAACACCTTCTCTCGAATAAAGTGCGCCTCTCAGGCTCGACTCCATTGGAGTCTTAGTCATTTTTTACTGCATTCGAGGAGGATTGACTTCTTTTCTTTTGGAGTCCTTTGTTCGATATTTGAGGATTCGAGGAGGCTTGACTCCTTTTCTTTTAGAGTCCTTTGTTCAATATTTGAGGATTTACCAATCTATTGGCACGACTAAGTTTAGGGCATGAGTCTGATACCATGTTAGGAATCACGACTCTCCACAATGATATGATGTTGTCCACTTTATTTGTAAGCTCTTATGGTTTTGCTTTTGGCTTCCCCAAAAGGTCTCGTACCAATGGAGAGAGTATTCCTTGATTATAAACCCACGATTATTCCCTAAATTAGCAGATGTAGTACTTTCATCATCCAACAAACATATTGTCCATTTTGACAAGTTACTTACTCTCATCAGCCTCACAATTTTAAAACGCGTTTAGAAGGGAGAGACGTCCAGTCTTATAAATAATGTTTCATTCCCTCTCCAACCAACTTTTTGAGATCTCTCACATAGAGCATTAAAACTGCATCCATTATTCAACGACTCTATGTTGAAAATATTCTAATGGGTTTTGTGTTCGATGATTGTGAGAACTATATGATACAGACTACTGATATATTACTAGAAATCAGAATAGATCAGAAGTACGAGAGATAAAGAGACAAAGGCTTATCTGTTTGCTCGCTTAAGCTCATCCATTAACAGATGTGCAACAGATTCGTAACCCATTTCTCGAGCTGCAAAAATCAACACAAAAATGGCAGCAAAATGATGACCCAAAATTAAACAATAACACACATAAAGTTTGCATATTAAAGCAGAAAAACCAATAACCTCTGTAAATGGCAAGCCCTGTGGGAGCCATCTTGCGCTTCTTCAAGCACAATGAACTGCAAGAACACACTCGGTTAAAATCCACCAGAAATAATCAGTAGGCTGTTTCTAAGACTTCAAGCAATCAAACCTGTTGCATATCCAATAAGGGTTGGTTCCCTTCTTCTCCACACAATGAGGGCACATCCATTTCTTGTTCTCAATCACTTCTTCCATTTCTGATCAACAAACATCACAGCCCATTCCCACATTAATTCTATGTCTCAAAAATTTTGATCAGCAGTTTGTATTGAGTAGAGCTGTTTACCTTCGCCATATCTGACCTTCAGACAAGCTCGGCAAAACACACCATTGGAGGAATGGCAAACGGAGCAATCAGTTTTCCCTATAGGGAAATAGTCAGTACATTTCAACTACATTTTAATTGAAATAGATTTTGTTTAACTCACTTACCGATACATGGTTCATCCATATCGAGATTACCACATCTCTTGCAATCTTCTTCACCACAGAGTTTCTTCTGCCTACACCCCAATTAAATTTCAAACACCATTCATCTCAAATAAACCATCAGCAGTGACAGAAATGTGGAAGAACAAAAGATTGAATGTACCTGCAGAAATGGCAGCAAATTCCATAAACAGGATCATAAACACTCCCCCGTCCCTTACTATTACACCTCCGTGCCGAAGCGTCCGGCGAAAGCCGATGGTCGAAGTCATCAATTTCCACCAAAGGAGCATTTGCAGGCCTCTTCTTAATCTTTTCCCCCACTGTGAAATCAAACGTCAGTCAACAGCAAATCATTATCTAAGTGATACAGTATACTCTTCAACTATTTCTCCATTGATCTACCTTCTTTAGACTCGAATTTTAGACTCTGAACTACCTTCCCTTTTAATCTGTTGGATCTCCGGTAAGAAATCAGGTCATGCACCGGAGTAGAGTCCAGTGAAATCTGCTTCAATCGATCAGAGCGACGAAGAGGAAGAGAAATCCGGGGAAGTGTGTGGCGACATTTTCTCTCTTGGATCTTCGCAGATTTTGCAGAGGAAACAATAGAACGAAGTTCGGATACGGTCTTCTTCAACCCTAGCGACGCCAATCGCTCCTGATCCCGCCATTTTCCATCAAATCAAAACAGATAGAGATGAAAAAGAAGGAGAAGAAGATGAGGGATTGAAAGAGAGACCTGATTCTCTAAAATGCGAGCGTTTCTGATATCTTCATAGTCGCTTTTTGCTCTGAGTCTTCCCATGGTGTTTGTTTCTTCTTCCTCTCCTCCTCCTCTGTCGCAACAAATTAACGCGATTGAAAAGTGGAGGGGATGATAAAATGACAAGCTTGTCGCTCTGAGATTGTCACCTACGAATATGGGCCGTGTGATCTCGCTAGTGGGACCCACTGACACCGTACTGTCACCATGTTTTGTGCGGTCATTCTTTTTTTTTGTGACGGGGCTGTAACTTTTACACTGAGCTCAACGGTCATTTTTTGTATGGGCTCTCGGCAGTTTAAAAATTCAAACTACGAATCCCTTTGTTTTTGCAAAGAATAAAATGGGAATTTTAATTTAATAAATAAGAATTTATTCTTTTTTCTTTGAAAGCTAGAATATATTTTCTTTTTTCCCTTTAAAAAGGTATTAAAGTTTTAAATTAAAACTCTCGCTACTTTATTTATAATAATAATAATAATAAATAAATTATTACTTTTTAACTTAACAAGTTTAATTAGAGTCCCACAACCACAAACTCCCTTCTCCCTCGCTGCCACCTTTAAGCCACAATAGAATCTCGACTTCCATTGTTGTGTTTGGTTGTAGTGATCAACGTAACTTAATTATATCTAGCCTCGAGCACCATGCATTGACCACTTTGGCATGTTACGTATTGTCGTCACTCTCATGGTTTTAAATTGTGTTTATTATGGAGAGGATTCCACGCCCTTTTATGAACTTTTTTGTTCTTATCTCCTTAGGGGTACAACATCCTCACTGATACACCGTCCCATGTCTAGCTCTAATACTATTTTTAACAATCTAAGCTCACCGCTATGAAATATTTTTCATTTTGGCCTATTACGTATCGTCGTTAACCTCACAATTTTAAAACTATTAGAAATAAGTTTTCATACATTTATAAGGAATGTTTCGTTTTTCTCTCAAACCAATACGATATCTCACAATAATGACCATACAACTATTAGACTATGAAACTGATGATGATACGTAACAAACTAAAAACGAAAAATACTTACTTATGTAGTTACAAATTATAATTAGGGTTTGAAATTGTTTAACCAATAAAACGAATGCCATAATGTTTTGATGTTTTGTTTACTTCGTGAAAGAGTTTCGATCAAGATTTTTATAAGTGTCTGTCTAACTTTATAAGAACTTTTTTGGTACAACCGAGCATTTGTCAGAAACTGATCCGAGAGTAGTTGCCCAACTATGTTTGTCACAACGGTTTTTTAATTTAGTGTTTAGAATACATCAAAATATTAATCGAATTTAACCCATGTCATAAACTAAGATATCAAAATTTTATTATTTTTTATTTTAAAATTGGATTCGTCAATTTCTATTTAATATTTAAATTGGGAGAAAAAAAATGAAGATTTATGAAATATTGGAAAATCGACGATTTAGGAATTAATTTAACACAAATTATAAACTTATAAAAAATCGTAATTTATAATTATTTTAAATTAATTTCTGTAGTTTATTTATTTATTTATGATTATTACTTTTTTTTACTTCTCTAAACCCTACTTCACGTTCAGCCACCCCCTCCCTCCCGCTACAAGCTAACTGTACTTTGCGCGGTTCTTGCTCGACGCTGTCTCAGCTGTTGCTGCTGTACGCTGAAATCTCATCATCCCAACGAAACCGCCGCCGCCTCTCTCCCTCAAACCTTGTCGCCTCTTCAAGCTATCAGAGTTACTTATCTGTCTTTATTTTTAGCAACACAGTGGTTCAGCCTCTTTCCCGCGCCGTTGGTGAGATAGCGCTGTGGCAGCTCATTCTTCAGATCCTCAAGGTTTTGTTTATTTATTTTGTTTCGTTGGTTGAGCAATTTTATTTATAGTTGTTGATTTATTCTTCAACCAGTGCTCGACTAGCCTAAATGAAAACATAAAATTAAGAAAGTTTACATTACAAGTTAGGAAAACAAGATTGAATCAATTAATAAAAAGGAACAAAAAACGTATCGTTCTTATCCGAATCGATAAATTAAGATGAAAAAAAATATTGAAGAAGATGAACAAAGCAAATAACATATCATTCTTTTCAGCACTGATTTGAAACATTCTAATTTCAGGGGTCCCAAACAGGGGGCGAGTGAGAATTAGAAGTCACTGCAATGGTAGTACTGGACGAGAATGTTCCATCCTCATCAGAGGCCGCGGCAATGAACAAAAGGCGCAAAAGGAAGAGAACGAAGAAAAATATTCCTTCAGCAGGTGCGGAAGAATCAGAACTTCGAAACCCAACGGAAGGTGAAGAAGAGGAAGGAGATGCGGAAGGTAATGTACCAGAGGAGAAAGTGAAAGAAGAGGAGAAGAAGAATAAAAAGAGGAAGTCGAAAATGAAGAAGGGCGAGTTGGAGGAGGGATATGAAAATACCAGTGATGGCGAGGGAAAGGATGGTGTTGAAGGGGAAGTGGAGAAGGACAAGGAGAAAAAGAACGAGAAAAAGAAGGTTAAGACTGATGGATCGGGAATTATGAGTACTGTTTCATTTGATTCGCTTGAGTTGTCGGAGAAAACTCTCCGGGCGATTAAGGACATGGGATTTGAGCATATGACTCAGGTGAGATTTCTGCTTGGGCAAGTTTTTATCAAATATTCATTAGAATTTATAGTTTGTTGGAGAGAGATTTTCTATGCACAACTTAGTTTTTTGCATTCCACGGATCAAATTCAATTTCGAAGGGTAGAACTTTTACTGATAACTATTTAACTTGAGTATGAAAGCAGTGAGTATTATTTTGAGGTTGTGATTGGGAATACTGAAAAAATGTTTAGCGCCTCACAACTTTGTTACGTATAAATAGTTTTTGACAGGGCTCGCTCCACCTCGAATGTGGGTTTAAGCTCTTTTAATGAATAGTGCGCTGGTTGTGAGGTTTCTCTTTTTGATGTGGATATGTTGATGAAACATTCATTTTCATCTCTTAGTGGGTTTTAATTTAGTAGAAAAACTAATACATGGACTTGAGCATTCTCAAATTTTCTGAACATCCAATGCAGATTCAAGCTAGAGCAATTCCACCTTTTCTGGTTGGCAAAGATGTTCTTGGAGCCGCAAGGACTGGATCCGGGAAAACCCTTGCCTTTCTCATACCTGCTGTGGAGCTGCTACATCACATATGCTTTACTCCTCGTAATGGAGCTGGTGTTATCGTTATTTGCCCGACAAGGGAGCTTGCAATGCAGGTTGGAAAAAATTTCCCCCTAGCCTGCATTTCTCTTTTAATAAGATAAATTTTGATGTCTCTTCATCTTGATGCTTAAGGAGCTTACAATTTGTCTTTGTATGGGAAGATTCTGATTCAGTTTTGTATTAATAAAAAAAGAATTATAATTACAAAGATACACAATGATTACGAAGCTATAGAGTCTCAAAATTTGTGTATTGTCTCACAACTCGAACTCGCTCCCTAAATGAAGTAAGAACTCCATTCACGATTGAGAAGTTCCAACAAAGAGAATGAAATCTTCGTTTTAAGCCTATTTCAAGCAACAAAGCAACCCAACAAATACAAAATTCCTACACAGGGTAGGAATTCCTCTTTTATTACTATTTCTATGCCACAGGGCTAACCCTTAAAAGCAAACCCAAACGTTCTTTTAATACTCACAAGAAGAAGCATGATCATTAAGAACCTTTTTCTTGTTATTTTCCATCAACATTCCTTCCATCTCATACCTCTTGGTATTAGTACGGACTGACATTTTTTTTTTCTTTTTTTTTTGATAATTCAGACACATGAAGTGGCAAAAGAGCTTCTCAAATATCATTCACAGACACTTGGCCTTGTTACCGGTGGTTCTAGCAGACAAGCCGAGGCTGATCGTATTACGAAGGGGGTCAATCTATTAGTAGCAACCCCTGGTCGACTTCTTGACCATCTTCAGCATACTAAGAATTTTGTGTTTAAAAATTTGAAGGTACGGGTGGCCTATTTTTCATTTTCTTGGCATTATTGATGTATTTTGATGGAAAATATTGCCAAGTAGAGAATGGATTCTTAAAAATTTGTTGCTGCTAACTTGTGGTCTGCTCCTCATGCGTTCTATTTATTTCTTGTTTTTTTTGGATAAGAAACTACTCCATTGATAATAGACTACATTATCAATGAAGTTGGTTTTTGTCACCTCTAAAGAATTTCAATTTTCATTTTCTATTCTGATTTGCATTGGTTAACTCATCAAATTATGTTGTTATTTACTTGTGTTATTCTCAGTCTTATAAATGTATCGTGACATTCTATTCTCTCTGAACTTTTTTGCAGTGCCTCGTAATTGATGAAGCCGACAGGATATTGGAAACCAATTTTGAGGAGGAAATGAAACAAATTATAAAGCTCCTCCCAAAGGTAATTGACCCTTGTTGTATGTCGTCTACGATATAATAATTAGGCTTTTTCAAGACTGTCGTATTAACTGTTAAAAGTTGCCATGTCACCTGTATGCCTTAGCATATGGGGTGAAATGTAGTTCGGGGTGGGGATGTGTTATATTTTTTATGGTGGTGGTTATTATTTTCCTCGTGCGATACTGTAATCTGATTGTCTTGCAATTTGCAGAATAGGCAGACTGCTTTGTTCTCAGCAACGCAAACACAGAAGGTATGTGTATTGCATTCAATTATTGTTCTTTTCTCTCGTCATGGTTTCTTCCTCCTCTACCATTAACATATATACTGTTGCTACTTTATGAGTTTCTATTCCTTTGTTCATTTGGATTGATTTTGCTTCTCCCCCTCCCTGCTGATCTTCCGAAAAAAAAAAAACAGGTTGAGGATCTTGTCCGCTTGTCGTTTCAGTCAACTCCTATTTATATTGATGTGGATGATGGGAGAACAAAGGTAACATGATCTGCTGATATTTATATGTTTATTTCAAATATTAGTCCTTTTGATTTATTGTTTGACATAATTGTTATTGTAGGTCACAAATGAAGGGTTGCAACAAGGTTATTGTGTTGTGCCCAGTGCTAAAAGATTCATTGTTCTGTATTCCTTCTTGAAGAGAACTTTATCTAAGAAAGTTATGGTCTTCTTCTCATCTTGTAACTCTGTCAAATTTCACGCGGACCTTCTTAGATACATTAAGGTTGATTGCATGGATATTCATGGAAAGCAAAAACAGCAGAAGAGAACTTCTACCTTCTTTGCCTTCAATAAGGCTGAGACAGGGATCCTACTATGTACTGATGTTGCTGCACGTGGACTTGACATCCCCGCTGTTGTAAGTCATCCTCTTTTTTAGCTATGTCAATACATTTATCGCATGGAGACAATTAAAGTTGTATTGCCCTCGCCCTCACTAGCACAAACGCTTGACCTCACTAGCACAAACGCTCGTCACTACCAAAACTGCCTTTTTATCACGAATGGTTGGATGGAGGATAGGATCACACTTGAAACATTGATTGGATGAATTTTTTTTAAAGAAGAGATAATTTCATTGATAAATAAAATAGGTGAAGTTAAAACTCCTAGCACCTGTAGGGAGGTAAGATCTTCAAATTAAAATAAAATGATGGGGAGGCTTTAATCTTAGATGTGTGTACATTTACACCAGTACATCGCATGAAAAGGAATGAATTCATAAAAATTGTTAAGGTGATAAAGTTCTCTAAATCTTTTATTTTCTCAGCCTCTTTTAAGGTCAATCATCAATCAACGTACTTCACGTCAACATAGCTACATACCGTTGAATGTTCTCTGATTTTTTTGTAGTGTGTTGGTATATTTGTAGTGTTTGTTTTGGTATTGTAGCTCCTTTTTAGCTCTGAAGTTCTTCGAGAGTTGCAGAGTGGGGATACTTTATAGTGTTTGTTCGACTTCTTAGTAGTGTTTTAGTTCTGTTAGTATAATCCTGAAAGGATGAAGATTAAAACTAACTCTGTTTCTTCAATTACTATAGATCTATAAACATTCGCATCTTATTCATAGCTGGCATCTGAAATCTATTTTCATTAGGAACTGACATATTGAAAAATACTTATTTAAGGATAATAATGATTTTACATGTCTTAAAGCCATTTAACTTTTGTCTCATTTTTTGTGTGTCTCAGGATTGGATTGTGCAGTACGATCCTCCAGATGAACCTAAGGTGCGTATTGCTACTTAATAGCAATCACAACCCATTTAATGTAGAGTTTAATGTTGTGTGAAATTATTGGTCTTAGGAATATATTCATAGAGTTGGTCGAACAGCTCGAGGCGAAGGTAGCAAAGGAAATGCACTACTTTTCTTGATTCCTGAAGAGCTTCAATTTCTTAGCTATCTAAAGGTTCGGTAACATTTATATTGAATTTATATGCACTATCAGAGGTGTCAGATCATCTTCTTCTCAGGGTTTAGTAGGTTTAATATCTTGTGTGGTTGATGTTTTACTGCCAGGCAGCAAAAGTTCCTGTCAAAGAGTACGAGTTCAGTGATAAAAAACTGGCCAACGTGCAGTCTCACCTGGTAAATTCATTCACCTTTTGTTCTCAGCAGAAACACTGTAACACAAGCACATAACTCTGAAATATTGAATGAGTCAGGAGAAGCTGGTTGGCAGTAATTATTATTTGAACCAGTCGGCTAAGGAGGCTTACAGATCCTATTTATTAGCTTACAATTCACACTCTATGAAAGATATCTTCAATGTCCACCGCCTTGACCTGCAGGTACTGATCTTAATTTTTTTTCATGCATCCCATCCCATATATTGAAATCCAGAACGTGCCTCTATGTACACATCCATTTTCTTCTGAAATCTTTGTGAGATGCTTCACTAACTTATAAATTTGGTTGGATACAAGTTTTCTGTGCTGGAATTCGTGTAACTCGATTCGGGAAGCTATCTATATTTACACTTGTAGTTGGTATGTGAATAGGGTATTGCTGCTTCATTCTGCTTTTCCAACCCTCCAAAGGTCAACCTTAACATCGACAGCAGTGCCTCAAAATTCAGGAAGAAAACGCGTAGAGTAGAAGGGAGCAGGAACCGATTCAGTGAGAGTGATCCTTATGGGAGAAACAATGCGGATGATGAGAGACAATTTGTAAGATACTAGCTGAACCTATCCAACTATGAATGACTTCACAAAAAATTATTATTCACTTTGCAAATTTTTATCTTTAGATTAAGAATTTGTGGGTTGTGGGACGAGGATTTGAACCTCACAATTTTAGTCGAGAGTATATGTTTTATAGCAATTTAGCTTCGCAGGCCTGTAATGATTCATTTATATGATGATCGTAACCAAATGATCCTAATATTTGTATGAGAGAAATTTTTTGAATTACTCGGAGCTACGGTTCTTATATTACCCTTGTTTTTTTTATATAATTTTTAATTTGACAAGTTGTAATAATTATATGAAATTTGTCACTATAATTATTTTCTTGAATTCTTTTTTTTTTTTTTAGTAAATTAGAATTTTTTTTATGTGTTCTCTGTAAAAATGGATTTGAGAGTAATTTAATTATTTTTCAAATTGAATCCAATGATTAATATGTGATTATTGCGTCACCAAATAGATAATTATTTATTAATTAGAAAAGAAAGCTGTCTAGATTTTTCTCAATGGCTGCTTAGTAGCCACTCCAACTAATTAAATGTGTAACAACTAAGAATATTATGATTTAGACAGAAGTCATATTTAAATGTGTAACTACTACGCATATTTGGACCAATTGTCATGTGCCACGTTTCAACTACTTTTCCATTGTGTCTGATGTGTCCATCCCAAATATTTGGCATGGAATTGCACGCAATTGAAACGACACCGTTGGATTTTGCCACGTGTTTTATTTCTTTTTATGATAATGGAATTCCGATTGCTTCTTAAATCATAACAAACTTAACTGCCTCGCAAATGTCTACGTCTGTGCCACGTCATCGTCTTCCTCAGCAGACCAAAAATCGACTCTTTTATTATTTTCATTATTTTTTTTAGGATATTTTATGGCGTGGATAAATCTAAAAAAAAATATTCATATTAAATTAAATTAAACAATATATATATTTTAAGTTTTTCAAAACAAAATTTTGAAAACACCCCTAAAAAATATATAAGAAAAGAAAGATATTAATTAAAATTTAATAAAAATAAAAGGATTGATATGAATTAAAATTATTATTCATGTGTTCTTGAAGTGGGATTTTTCAATGAATTGGTTGGAAGGAATATTCCAATTGTCAGCTTGACCGTATTTTCTGAAAGGAGTCAAAATAAGAGAAAAATAACTATTGATATTAATTAACATTTGCTTACACCAAAAAACAAATAATAACAATAATAATAATATTTTGGATAATCTTCAATTTAATTTTTTATTTTTTATTTTTGAAAGTTTAAATTTTATTTTTTTAATTAGGAATTTAAAAATGTAATTTCCTAAGGCAGAAGGGCGGTTTGAATGGAAGGTCAAAAGCAGCGGCTGATTCAAAATCGGGTTGCCTTTTCCCCATTTCTCCACCCAACTTCCATCTTCCCTCCCATCTTACGTCTCGTCTTCGTCTCTCTCTCTCTCTCTCTAGATTCTCTGTTATATAACCCCGCCAGGTAGTGAGAGGTTTCTGGCGTAGATCATTCGGGACGATTCTGCGAGTTAGGGTTTCGTTATTTCGTTTCGGTTTTGGAGATGGAGAATTGGAAGCAGAACAGTAGGATGGAGAAGATCGGAACTCCGTTTCCTGTTCACAGCCAGGTGAGGAAGATCAAGGAGGAATCGGAGATGATCATCGATTGGAGACCGGGACAGCCAGAGATTAAACCGCCGGCGGCCGCCTTTCGAGAGATCAATCGCCGGATCTCTCGCTCGCCGCTCGGAGTGTCTGGCCGGCCGATTTCGGTCGGGGAATCGTAGAAGGAGATTATTGATGATTGTTCTCTTTTCTAATACTAATTAGTTCTGTTCTTTTTCTTCTTCTTTTGTAAATAGTTCGTTGTTTTTTTCTTATAGAGAGATTTCTGGATTTTGAATATTGCTCTTCTTTCTCAACTCTCGAGTTCATGAATATCTGAAGTATTCGTGAATTATTTTTGGATTCTGTTGAGATTCGTACATGATTTGATTATGAATTTCTAAGATTATTGATCTTGGAAAGGAATTTCAATAGAAATATTGCTAATATCCCTTCACATATACACAATCATACGAAATTAAAACTGTTCTGTAATGATACACTTATTCGAGGGAAGGAGAAAGAAAGAACAAAAGAAACTTAACTCGGATGTAACAAAGACACCATGTTGAGTTATTTCTACTGCCAAGCCAAAGCAAAGGCTTGATTCGTGTACTGTATTAAGCCCTTCAGTTTGAAACCATACTCTCAGTTTCCTTGACAAAGCCATCGCCAGTCCAATCTTTATCAGATTGCAGACCCTTCTTCACAGCTTTTCTCTGCTCGATTGCTTCCCGCTGCCTCCGAACTAAATCCGTGTGCGTTGTGAAGTACGGAAGGGAAGCCCTGTTTCACCCGGAATTCGTTAGTGTGACCGATGTTCGAGGGGATCGAGCCGTGTTCTATTAAGAACTGCTATTGATTTCAAACTCCAAACTTACCCTCTGAACTCTTCGATGGATGAGAAGTTGTGAAGTTTCATGAAGTCCTTCAGCTCAGCACAGAGTTTCTTAACGAGGCCATAACCATGCATCATCACTCCCGTGCACACCTGCATATGAATGCAACTTCCTCAGCATACAACAATGCAGTATAGTACACCATTAGGAATATCCTAAAACAAAAGGATGTCCGAGCCATTACGACCAGTTTCGTTAAATGAACTAGTCGATTTCGCAACATAAATTATAGGCTATAATTTGGTGAGATCTCACATCGATTGGAGAGGAAAAATTTTTTGTAAGATCTTAGGGAACGAAACATTCCTTGTAAGATTGTGGAAACCTCTCCCCCAACGTGTTTTAAAAACTTGAGGGGAAGCCCAAAAAGGAAAGGCCGGAGAAGCCCGAAGGGAAAACCCAAATATGACAATATCTGCTAGCGATGGGCTTGAACTGTTACCATACTAGAGCTCGTCATCGGGCGGCGTGCTAGCAAGGATGTTGGGCCCCCAATGGGGATTGTAAGATCTTACATCGGTTGGAGAGGGGACGACCCGTAGAAGGTGAGGAAACCTCTCCCTGACACGTTTTAAAACCTTGAGGGGAAACCCAGAGGAGAAAGCTCAAAGAGGACATTACTACTGGCGGTGGACTTGGGCAGTTAAAATGGTATCAGAATCAGTCATTGGGCGGTGTGCCAGTGAGGATGCTAGCTCCCTAGGCGGGAGGGGATTATGAGATCTCACATATGTTTAAAAAGGGAACAAAACATTCTTTATAAGAGTTTAGAAACCACTCCCTAGCAGACACGTTCTTGGACGGTTACAAATTTCTCGTTGTACCTGAACAGTGTTTGCTCCGAGTAGAATAAACTCGGCAGCATCTCCACCGGTTTCGACACCTCCAATGCCAGAAAGAGAGTAGTCTGCATCATTAAATTCAGCCTTCATCATTTTTGCAATGTTCAACACTTTACCAAGAGCAATAGGATGAACTGCCTTGGAAGAGTAGCCTCCTGGAGTTGAATACCTAACAACATACAGATTGAACCACATCCAACATTTCAGCTGAATGCTAATAAACACAAAATCATTCTATATCGACGAGTTCAAAAGTTCGAATTAGCAAACCCCTCAACACAAGGCTCAGGGCGTAAGGTCTTGAGATCGATTCCCATTACACTCATGATCGTATTGATAGCCGCTATCCCCTCGCATCCCAATTTCAGAGCCACCCTAGCAGGCTTTACAAAAGAAGAATTGTACGTTGCATCAGTTCATGCAACCATAGATACTCATTCAAATAGAAGAACAGCAAAACTACCTGTGAAATGTCAGTGATATTGGGAGTCATTTTAGCCCAGACAGGGATTGTAGCTTTAGCATTTATCCATCCACAAACCTCTTCCAGTAGCGCACAATCTTGCCCGACTGCAGCACCCATTCTCCGTTCGGGCATGCCGTGAGGGCACGAGAAATTGATTTCAAATGCATCCTTTAAGTAAGAGACATAAACATTCAATGAAATGAACTGTTCTTGGTAATAAACACGGTAAAGAAGGCATAGATCGTAGGCATACAACTCCGGTTTGTTCGACTCGATCTATAAGTTCTTCCCAAGCAGCTTTGTTATACTCCTCCATTATTGAAGCAATGAGAATCCTATCAGGATACTCCTCTTTCAATTGCTTAAACTCTTTCAACATAGTTTCAAGGGGTCTGTCGCTTATCAATTCAATGTTCTCCCACCCAATGATCTGCCCTTTTGCAGAGCCGCTTGAATCTGCTCGAAGCCGGGCATATCTAGGCGTTACATTTATTACTTTTGCTGCATCTAGTGACACCTAACAGAGACAAAGATCCATGAAAATACAAGAAATGTACATGCCAGCCAATGAAGAACAGATAGCAAAACCAGTAATGTTCTTCCAGCCAATCAAGAACAGATAGCAGAACCAGTAATGTTCTTCCAGACAAAGATCAATCTAAATATCTCTTTCTCCAAACACTAATCATATTCCTAATCAAGAACAATCTCTAAGATGAAATCACAGATCAGTAGATTACACAAACAGCAACCAATTTGCCATTCAAAAATCAAATTATAAGCTAACGGAATCAACAGACTACGAAATCGAAATCAAAAGCGAGACAACTTACAGTTTTGGCAATCACAGCGCCCCAACCTTCATCAAATGCCCTCTTCATAACCGTATAGTTAGTTCCCGGCGGACCCGACCCAATTACAAACGGGTTGGGCATGTGCAACCCATTGACCGTCACACTGAGATCAGGCTCCGCCTGACCTTCACCGGCGGCGACCACTCTGAACCCAACTCTATTTCGACGAGTCAAACGCATCCGAGACCGATTCAGCGCGAGCTCGGACATTGGGTTTCTAGTTCTGATCTGGGTAAAATCCAACGACGCCATGGATCAAGAAATTCAAGCTCTCTGCAACAGAAAATCCTGTAATGGAACAAAAAAATGATGTGGAAGGAGAAGAAGAAGATGGGTAACTCAATCTGAGATGTAATATTCGATCAAGAAAGCTGGAAAGGTGGGGCATGAAGAATCATCCTCGTCAATTTCCTTCTGGATTTATAAACGTATTCAATTTAATAATGATGAATGAATCGGATTAATAATTTAATAATTTATTTTAAATAAGCAAGTAAATTCGGTAATTAATTTAAATAGTTTATCTCACTAACAGGTGTTTCTTTGGATGGTAACTAG